GTCCTGGCTCACATCCCAATGTTTCCCAATATGGTGCTGGGGTCACCAACGCCGGGTGGTGGCCTCCTCCAGGCCTAGCCCACCCAGGCACGTCTCCGCCAGGATGGGCCAGGCTGACCGACAAGAAGACCCGTGCCTCTTCAGGTAGAAACCTTTTCCCTTATCCCAAAGGCCCTTAGGAAGCTCCAAGCTGGCTTGGAGTAACAGTGGGTCTTCAGGCTTCATATCCAGCCTCTTCCTCCTCCTCCTGGTCCCAGCCTTTTCTCTGTCGTTCCCCTGGTACATTCAGGTGAGAATGTGAGCGCCCCGTGCCTGGCTCACAGTAGCCCCAGACAAACACTGACTGCGTGCTACAGCACCAGATGTCAGCCACCTTCTGTTCTTTCTGGCATGCGATGGCACGAACATCTACAGATTTCTCCACACCACAGGGCCTCGCAGGGGGAGTGGAGGGGCTCAAAAGCCCAGGAGCATGGAGCTGTAGGATTGGAGGCATCAGCCGGGAACTACCAGACCCCACAGAGGCCGGGACCCCATTTCTGCTCTCTTCATGCCCAGGGGCTCTTGCTGGTGTCTGTGCCCCTGGGAGTGGCAGGGTCCAGTCAGGCTCTCCACATCTAGCCGTGCACCCTGCACACACTCCAGAGCCAAGCAGACAGGCCAACGTCCTGCCTGGCTCCTGCCAGCCAAGCCACACGTCCACCAGTGTGGCCAGGGGCACCGCAGCACTGAGCAGCCAGCGCTCTTCCCTGATTCCCCCACCGAGACGCTGGGTTCATTCCAATCACCCAGAGAAGGGGCCGTTCTGCAGCTGCTCCTCCCAAAGCACTGCTGGTTTCAAATTGGTCCCTAGCAGCTCTGGGTGCTCCTTACAATTTACTGAAAGAAAACAAGGCAAGGAGGGAGGGAAGCTGGAGCTCCTAGGCCACCCGTCCTCCACATGTGGCCCCTGCCAGCAGCAGCACCTGGAACTTTTCACACATGTGCATCCTCAAGCCTGGCCATCTCCATCAGAAACTCTGGGGCAGAGGCTGGGAATCTGGGTTGTCAACGTTCCCCAGGGAGTTCTGACGCATACTCCAGTCAGAGACGTGCTGGCAAACACCCAGCACTGCGTAGGTCTCAGCTTCGAAAATAAGAACCACTCTAGAATGTTCACCACGGACTTGCGTTATTGGGCCCCCACCCACCTCACCAGTCAGTGTGCCCGTCAGCTGCGCTTAAAAAGGCCACAACCCGCAGGGCCTGGGAGGCAGGCAGGCAGGCTCACCTGGCAACAGGTGCTGCTGGGGCCTAGGCCCAGGTGTGGATTAGCCAACTGTGGTCGGAACCAGGGAGACACCCAGGCCTACACAGACGCCCCCGACAGGTGTGGGTCCCACCACCCCTGTGGATCTGTGAGGCTCCGATTGAATTACTCAGAAGAATAGCTGCCCACACACACACCCTGACACGTGATTCGAGGGCTGGGGAGAGGCGCACAGGAGGCTGTGCCCGCTGCCCTGGGCCGTCTGCTGGCCACTTTGATGTGAGGAGTGTTGTCTGGGCTCCACGCCTCCTCTTTGATTTTTAGGAGCGGTGCGGTGTGCCCAGTCCCATTCGGTGGTTTTTAAGCAAGAACTGTTCTAACCTTCTCCTAAGAACCACTCATTATCTCAGGCAGGAAACCCAAGCCAAGCCGTTCTGGCGGTAGGGAAGATTCCCCCTGCTGTGCCAAGCGGGACAGAGACCACATGAAAGGCCCCAGCCTGCTTGCTAAGACCCTGATCCCAGGCCCCAGTGACAGACTGGGCATGGATCTTGGACCCCATCCAGCCACCTGCACTGGGGACAGCACGTGGGAGGGAAGCTGGGAGAGGACCCTGATGGGCCACTGAGGGCTCCCACTGGAGACACCAGGCTTGTGGGGCCGGCAGAACCACGGCTCTGGTCAGCCCTGTGCTTAAGCCCTGGGGGCAGAGGCCCTGCCAGCCCAACCCAGCCCCGCCCTGCGTCTGCCCCACTGCTGCCCCTGGCACTGCATGTCCTGCCACTGCCCAGCAACGTCCCCATAGCTGACCCATGCCCGGCCTTCTCATTCCTGCTTTGTCACTTTTCTGGCCGCACCCCAGGTCTTCCCCATCAGTCCACACAAGATCCTCCCACATGAAAACCACCACAATATCCTCTTGACCCCACCTCCCCTTTGCAGCAAGATTCCCTGAGGGAGCCGTCCATCCTCCCTATCTTCAATGCCTCTCCTCTCATTCTCCTTTTAATATTTGGCACATGCAAAACAACACATGTACATGTGTATGTTCCAAAGGTTAATACCATGACCATGAGCCCTGCCCAGCCCCGCCAGGACAAGAACTTCCCCCGGAACTTGCTCATGGCAGTCAGTTCCTTCCCATCCCATCCCCATTTCCCCAAGAGGTGGCCACTCCCTGGACCATAGGCTTCCGGCCGTCTTGTGTTGAAGTAATCTCATCACTGACGTATGTGTGTCTGCATGGTATGTTGTTTAAACCTTGTTTTTGAAGATTACATGAATAATACTGTGCCGTGTGGAGACTTCCGGAACTTGTTAACCCCACATTATGTTTCTAAGATGTTTCCAGGTAGCTGTTTGCAGCCGGAGTTCATTCATGTTCATGGCTGTGTAATATTCCACTGTCACCAAGCTGCAGTGTACCTGTCATTCTGTTGAGGACGTTTCAGCTGGCAGGTGTGTTGCTAGTACTGATACAGGATCACTCTGCCAACTGTCTTCCAGTGCACATGGGCAGCAGTTTCTGTTGTCAGTGTATCTAGCGAGAATTACTAAGATACTCCTATTCAATTGCAACAAATGACACCAAACAATTTTCCAGAGGTTGTTTCAGCTTCGTTTGTCTCCAAGGGTAAACATGTAAGTACCAACAATTAAGATGGTCCAAACTCTTCCACTTTGACCATGGAGTGAGTGAAATGTCGTGTTTCAGTTTCACGTTGCATATTTCTAATAACTAGTAAGATGGAGCACATTTTGACATAGCTATGGAACCTGGTGTTTGCTTTTCTGGGAAAAGCCCAACTTTCTATTGCTTTGTCTGTTTCTTCCTAATTTGTAGGTAGTTTTTATGTGGTCTGGATATAAGTTCTTAGCTGTATCAGTTACCAAAATCTTCTCCCAGTGTGTGGCTTGCCTATTAGGTGGCACACAGGTGACCCCAGTGATCCTTACCCTTACACAGTCCCCTCCCGTGAACACATCACTCCCGGGCTTGGGCTGTGTTAGGTGGCACACAGGACTTTAAGGATGGACAGCTGTCCTGGTGGGTCTGGCCTAATCAGGTGAAACTGTAGACGGCACAGGCTTTTCTTAGAGATTCAAAGGGCAAGTGGGAGTCAACGTGAGGCGGCTTCTTTGTTGCTGACTTTGAAGATGGAGGGCACCCTATGGCAAGGAATGTGGGTGGCCTCTAGTCCCTAAGAGCAGCCCCCGGCTGACAGCCAGCAGGAAACAGGGACATGAGCCCTACACCTGCAAGCAACTGCATTTGGCCAACAACCCAAGTGAGTATGGGAGCAGACTCCCCCGGAGCTCCCAGAAGGAACCCAGCCCACTGACACCCCAATTTCTGCTGTGTGACACCCTGAGCGGAGGACCTACCAAGTCGTGCCTGGATGTCTGACCTGCAGCTTGGAGCTAAGAAATGAGGTTGTGATAAGCTACCAAGTATGTGGGGACTTGTTACACAGCAACAGAAAACTACCATAGTCTCTATTTACTTGTGTCGACAGTCATGGGCTTTAATGAAGTTTTATGGTTTTCTGTATGTAGGCCTTGAGTATCTTTCCTTCCATTTATTTTTAGAAACCTTAAGAATTTTTAACCTTAAATATCCTTTAAAAAATGAATATAACTGAATTCTTGAATACAATTTACAAGTGTACTGCTAGTATCTAGAAAAGCAATTGATTCCAGTATATAATCTCATGGCAGGCCAGGTGCGGTGACTCCCACCTGTAATCTCAGCACTTTGGGAGGCCAAGGTGGGAGGATCACTTGAGCCTAGGAATTCAAGAACAGCCCGGGCAACACAGAGATACCCCATCTCTACAAGAAATGAAACAATTAGCCAGACCTGGTGGCATGTGCCTGTAGTTACAGCTACTCAGGAGGCCGAGGTAGGAGGACTACTTGAGCCCACGAGTTGGAGGCTGCAGTGAGCCATGATCACACCACTGCACTCCAGCCTGGGTAACAGAGCAAGACCCTAAAATAAATACATGAATAGGTAATAAAGTAAAAACTTTTTAAATCTCATAGAAAACAACCGTGCTGAATTCTTACTATTCTTAATAATTTTGGCTTTTGTATGTAGACATATTTGAGAATACAGCATTACATTTCTTCTACTGCTATTTCTATGTACTTGCATATTTATTGCATCTTAATGAGCCAGGACCCTCAGCAGCACGTAGATTTTGCTGTTCCTGATTGTAAAGGCCCTGACAGTGACAACTTCCATTTGGAAAGCTGTTTGCTGGAGGTTTCGGCAGGAGGGCGTCCACACAAGAGGGGCACACAGTGTGGGAGTCAAAGCCCCAGTCAGATGAGCAGGGCCTCTCTGTGGGGAGTGGGTGGCAGTGATGGGAGGCTGGTGACATGCAGGGAAACTGACCCAATAATGGATTAAGGAGAATAAGAACCATTCCCAGAAAGGGCCTCAGAACTATGGAAAGAGAGAAAGCTGGAACATACCCTGTGGTGCTGGGCTGAAATCGGAGGTATTAGCGTCATTCTCAGCTGTTAATAGACGAGAGAGATGGAAGTACGTGCACATATCCTCTAGCTCTGTCCACTAAGAGCTCCCGTGCGCGGCAATCCGCAACAGCCAGGAGCACCCCTCGCACCCACCGCCTGGTTCCTGACTCTGCTCTCCATTCAAAGGAACAGGGCTCCTCAGAGCCGGGCTCACTCCGGTCAATGAAAGGGAAAGGGGCAGCCAGGTATAAGATAAGGCTGGAACATCTTTTTGCACCAGAAAGTGAAGAAACGGCTAAAGAACTGTAGGTACATAACAAAAAAACACAAAAGGCAGAAGAAGGAGCTCTCACGGGTCAAACAGGCAGGACCTGAGCCTGAGAGTAAACATCGTAACAGACCACAGCCCTGAATACAAGCAGGGGCCAGGTCCACACCGGTGGGAGCAAGGAAGGAAAAAGTAAAGGCAGTTTGACGGGGATGGGATATTGGCATTGCTTCCCACTACCTCCCCACTCATTCATTACAAAGGGTCATTACTGGGCAGTGGAGAAGCTGACCGGGGCCACCTTCACCAAGCAACAAGAGAGAACACCAGCAGGAGGCTAACTGCATTGGGGCAGCCCCTGCCAGGAGGCAGCGTCCACCCTGTGACACTCCTAGACAAAACGCAGACCCAGAGCCTACCACGAGGAAACCTCACGTGAACAACCTGGGAGCCACGGGCTTATCTCCAGAAGTGCCAAGGTCGTCCAAGCCCAGGGAGACGGAGCCACCGACCAGGCGGATTAAGTCACCATGACCACAAAGCCACGTGCAACTCACTCCTGACGTGAATGCGGGTTGGACACTGTCCCAAAGCACAGAGGGTGCAGGGCCAGAACGGCAACCACTCGAGTGATTCAGAAGGAAGCTTCTCTTGACTTGCAACTTCTCCCCAAGTTTGTGGTGGTTTCCATATCGTTATTGTTGTTGTTATTCGACATGAGTAAAAAAGAACTCACGACCTTCTCCTTGGACTTGCTCCTCTCCCCAATCTCAATACCAACCACGCTGTTGTTCGCGTCGCCCCCTCCCCAACCATCCCACAGGGGCTACGGCGTGGGCTCAGCACCTCTAAAGGAAAAGCAGATGAAAGAACTTGTGCCTCCCAGGCGAAAACGCACAGTGCACAGGCAACCCTGGCAGGGCCCATCCCTTCCTGGTCCTGCTGAGCTCGGGCACAGACCGGGCACCAGGCTCCGTGTGCAGTGTGATGGGGAGTGGTGTCCCCAGAGTTGTTTCTGGAAGTTGCTGGGTCCACCTTGCCTTAAAAATAGTCAACCAAATCCCATCCCACCACTAGATGGCACCCAAACCTCAGCAGACAGGGGGCGTGGGTTGGCACCTGAGGTGAGAAAACCACTGGTCAGTCTGGACCTGGCATGCCTCAAGTGGCAACAAGGCTTTTCACACACTGCTCACTTGCCCCACCTCCCCACCCCAGGCCCCCTGCCACACACCTGCGGACACAGGAACCAAGGTCACCATTGGCTTATACATGTCCTTGAGCAAAACAGAAAAGGTGCCCCTCACAGCAGGTAGACGGCGCCCCCCACTCCCAGGATACGCCTCACAGCCACGTGCCCTTGTGCAGTGCACAACCCAAGCAGCTTTACTCAACACCCCCACTCCGGAGAAGCAGGACTAGAATTGTGCTGAAGTTAAGAATGACAATCCCATTCTTTGCAAGACTTATTGATGAAAATAATTGGCAATCAGACTCCTAAAGAAACGCACCCAGTCACACTCATGCAAGCCACGAAATAATAAAACACGGTCAAGGTTCTCTCCATGTCAAACCACCAGCATCCCCACTGGAAAGGCCCGGAAGTCTGCCGGTTAACCTGTGCAGGCCCTGGTCAGGCCTGTGGTCCCCAACGGCCACCAGCAGCAAAGGCACGCGAAGCTGCAGGGCACAGGGGAGGCCGCTGCTTCTCGCTTTTTTGTCTGTAAGGTCCCTGTGGAGTGGGCGAGGGAATTCTCACTGAAGCAGCTATAAAAGAAAGCGGAGCGCGTGGCGCCTCCCGGAAGCACCAGCAGCGGCTCTGTGGATGGCTGCTGCGCCGCACGCGAAGGACTTGATTCCTGTCTCCAGCTTAGTGGTCTATCAGAGGAAAGGTCTCTTCCTGCTCGGCTGGCCACAGCATGGCCGCCTCTTCCATGATGGGCACCTGTGTAGGCCAGCCTCTCTCTCCTGCCGCCCTGGCTGGGACGGCAGCCCGGATGTCACCTGCACAGCCGCAGGTGCGGGTGCTGGTTCAGCCTCTCCATGAGCTCATCCTCCCTGGGCTCCTCCAGAATATCCCTGTGGAATTGAGGAAAGATGCACACAGGGGCCTCTAAAGGAGGGACACCCCGGTCTGCTCACAGGAACAAGGGAGCAGAGCTTAGCAACACATGCAAAGTGAGTGTCACAGGGACACAGAGACACGGGGACTCAGATGAGCCTCAGGATGGATGCGGCCCCTAGAAATATCTACACGGCATTCTCAAAAGCCCAGGGGACACATCTTCCCACTGGCTGGCAGGACCGCAGGGCTCGGCTGCAGCGACTCAGCAGCCCCTCGTGGAAGGCACAGCCCCACAGCAGGCTGCCTCTGGGTGGTCACCTTTCCAGACTAGTAGAGGAACCATCTCAAAGCTGCCAGGAGAAGAGATGGGTGCAGTTTCCTCAGGTCCCCTGTTTACATCCAACAGAATCCAATGGACCCTGAAGGATGGTGCCTTAAATATGCCCAAGCAGGAGGGCAGGACAAAGGATATGACCCCAGTGGCAGGAAGAGGAAGCCCCCCGATCCCAGCTCTGAGCTTCTCCCATGCAGCACATGACCAAAGCCAGATAACCGGGCGGAGAGGGAGGAAGGCCATCAGGGCCTGCCGGCCACCTTGGCCCCTCCACCCCCCAGCTCTTGGCTTCACACCCCAGAGGGCCACACAGAAGCCCTTCCCCACTCACACACCTGAATGGGAGCTCCACAGTCATCTGGTAGGTGGCCTCCGCGGTCCCAGCAAGTGGCTGCAGGTGGCTCTGGGGGTCCCACTTGTGAAGGAAGTTCTGGCAAGCAGGAGGGAGTGGCCAGTGAGTGTGGGCCCCGAGTGAAAGCAGCCTTGCCCCATCCCCAGCCCCTCCAGGGTCAGCCACAGGGCACCCACTGAGGGGGCTGAGCCGTTCACCCTGGACACCCAGGCATAGGCCCCACAAGACTGCTGGCTCCTCCTGGAGCCGACGTCCAAGTCCCTCCTTCAGCCCGACCTGGCGGCCTGAGAATTCCCACACCCCACATGTCAGGAGCGTCCCCCAAGGCCCCAACAGCCAGGGGAGGCAGCACTGAGCCCCACAGGAAGGGCTCAGCCTCACTCAGGACCCGCCTAACCCAGCACAACTCTCCCATCAAAGTTCCAGGCAGGCCTGGCCAGTGGTCTCAGGCCCATCGAGAGTGAATTAGAAACAAATGACCACGGAGAACAGCCTGGGTGGGGATCTCTGATACCTCCAGAATCAGGGCCAGAAACAGGTTGACCCAGATGACAGACGACACCAGCCACCACAATACAAAATAGATCTTGGACCACCTGCGGAGGACAGAGGCCCACCCCGTGAACCACAATGAGCAAAGCAAGAGCACTCGATACAGACACCGCTGCTGTGTGGTCAGGACGGCTCCTAGGCATCAGGTCCACGCACGCCATGATACAGAGCGCACTACTATTTCCACCTCAAATCAACCCAGCCGAGGCCTAGAGATGTGCAACAAGCTGCCGAGGTAGCTCAGCCAGCAGGAGGCGGTGCTGGGATTAAAACCCAGGACCATCGCTGGGGCCAGTCTGAGCTCAAGCTCAGAGCTGAACTATCTCGTTCATTCAGCCTTCCCAGGGCTCCCCCACCCCCGTGGAATTCCTCAGAAGCCCCAAACACACCAATGGCCTCCAGGAGGTGTAAACCCAGAGTCACTGGCCACCATCCTGAGAGTCACAATGTGGCTATACAGGGCGCAGGGGCAAGGCCAGCCAGGATGCCACGCTGGCTGACTTTCCTGTCAAGGCCCAAGTCCCTGTCGCAGCCACGCTCCAGGCATCCAGTGCAGCGTGCCCGGATGCATGGGAGCCCCCAGGCTGCACGGAGAATCACCGCCGCCCAGACGGGGACTCACGGGCCCGAGTAGCGCCGATAGGCATCCAGGAGCACCTGCCAGTTGTTCACCACCATCAAGTTCCACAGAGTGACCAGGGCAGCCTGCAGGGGCAGAGACCAGCAGTCCAGGAGGGCCCAGGAGGTGGGGAGGGGAGAAGCCCAGGGAGCAGGGCGCTGGGGCAGGACGCAGGGCTCACCGCAAAGTCATCGAAGTTGTTGGCCCAGTACTCCAGCTGCTCGAAGCTCCCACAGGGCGCCGAGCCATTGGCTGAGGCCAGGCTGGGGGTCACAACACACCTGGGTCAGGGGCGGGGGCTCCAGATTCTGAGGCCTGACACCTTACAGCCCCTCCTCTGCCGGTGTGCTCAGCCTGGCCTGAAGGTCCAAACTGGGGTACAGAGGGTCAGGGGGCAGGGAGAGTGCTGCTCTGAGCAGGCCATGAGAAATGTGTTTAGCAGACTCCAGGCAAGGGCTCCTAGCAGAGGCGCGGAGCGGAGGTGGAAATCGGAGATCAGGAAAAGAGGGTGGAGGGAGGAGATGAAGGAACTGGGAGAACAGCCTCCCCTCCTGAGACACTGAGCCCACCAAGGCCACCGCCAAGGCCTCCCACCCACGCTGGCACCCCTGAGACACTCCCCATGGCACCTCAGACCCCACCTCACCTGCTGTTTCCAGGGGGAGCCACAACGACACCTCGAAACAAGCTGATCCCAATGATGGCAAATTCGTAGTAGACCACCTGGGGGCCAGGAGCCAGGGACTGGTCAGCCCCACCCTTGGGCGCACCTGCCCCCACCCCTCCCTGCCCTCAGAACCACAAAGCCAGGCTGACGCCTGCGAGGCCAGGACCCTCTGCCCAGAGCTGGGATTCCAGCCTGGCTGCTATTTCAAAACACATGCGCTGGCCTCCCCCAGGGCTGCCAGGTACACAGACCCAGTGGGGCCCAGGCAGGGGTGGTCACGGAGCTCCTACGGGAATACAGGTATCCTGGCAGCCACAGTTAGGGGACAGGCTGCCGGCCCACCCCAGGCCTATCCCTAACATGCATCAGTAGAGAGCGGAGGGGTACACGCCTGGGCTAACCTGGTCCCCTTTCTGGCCTCAGTTTCCTCTGCTATGCAAGTTAGGGGGCTGGTCAGACAGCACCTGAGGCAAGATTCTCTTCCCGGCGTCTATTTCCAGAGGCACGAGGCACAGCTGGGGACCAGCTCAGAGCACCCCGTGACCCCAGAGACACCTTCTCACACCAGTGGTCTCTATGTCAACGTGGTCAGAATAAAATGACAAAACTGCCTGAAGTACGGCCGGGCTTCCTGCAGAGGACGCCTCCTGTCACTCCACACGAAGCAGCTCTGGGGCCTGCCTGGTCACGGGCCCCTCTCCTGCCCAAGCCCGGCCACCAGGCAGAGCAGACGGGCTCCTCAGCTGGAAGGCTGGCCAAGGGGAGGGGCCGGGGCGTCCCACAGTTCTTGCTCAGCAAATGTGGCTGCAAGTCCCTGAAACCCTTCTAAGAAAGGAACCTCGACCAAGTCCTCATCCTAGGGCTTGCGTGGGCTTTGGGGTCCTGGAGGCAAAGCCCTGAGCCTCTTAAATTTCTGTCATTAGTTTCTCAACAAGATCCACAACCCAGAAAACACGAGAGACTCAAAAGTTACCAAAACCCTCTGTGGCATGGGCGGGAAACATGCCCACGCAGCGCCACCAGCCACACCGCCCTGAGCGCCCTGCTCTGCAAAGAACGGGATGCCTCTGGCTTCTCACCCCGACCCTATACTCCCCTGGCCTCAGGAACCTGCTGCCGTCCAAACCCAAGAAACTTCCTGCCAACAGAGCAGTGAGCCGGCCCGGCACTGCCTTCCACCAGCTTCCCAGCCTCCCACTCCAGTGCATATCCCACCACCAGGAGCAGCCTGGGACTCACCACCAGGATCCCGCCAAACGCACGCATGTTCTGCACCAGGCCCACGACGGTACTGGCCACCACGGCCATCAGCTGAGGACAGGAAGAGAGCCAGCCCTTACTCCTCCTGGCCCCGCAGGGGGGACACCATCCCAGCCCACCACCCTGACCCTGACGGAAAGGCAAGATGGGGCAGGCCAATGACCACCAACCCACACACACCTGGACCCACAGCCATCCCACATGCCTCTACACACCCACACAGCCTGCCAGGCCCCCACATCCACCCATACACCCCCTCACACCCCCCAACACCCACATCTACCCACACGCATTCACACACGCTTGCATCGCCCACCCGCACGCACTCACTCACCCACTCCTGCATCCCAACACCTCCAGCCCAGCCTCATTCAAGCACTGACTTCAGGTCCCTGTGGGAAGCCCTTCTCTGCCTCCCAACCCACTGTGGGTGGGTCAGCTACTCTGTGGCCTGGAGGCGCCAAAGCAATGCAGAGCTAGAGGTGGCAGGACCACCTGCAGGAACTGAGTCTGAGCTCTGAGAGCCAGCAGGGAGGCCCCAGCTCCAAAGAGCCGCTCCTCCTCATCACAGGTAGCCGGGAGAAAGGCTTTCACATCAGCCGCATCAACCCACCTGAGGAATCCAAATTACACAACACAGCTAAACGCCACAGTGGAGAGCAGTCGGCATGGACATGTGCACACGGGCGTGTCATCGTGAGCATGCATATACTCACGTGAGAGGCCCTGGGAAACTGCGACTTCAAGCAAAACGGCGTGATTCCAGGGCCTGCTGTGCGTCATTTCCCTTAAAGTCACAGTTTCCAAGAACCTGTGGGTGGCACTGAGGCCTTACTGTGGATGTGTGCACACACGATCACGCATCTTATACAGGCACAGGTTGACATGGATGTCTGCATGCGATTATCTGTGCACACGGTGATGCGGGGGTGCGTGTATATATGAATGTACATGTGCATGTGCATGATGTGTATTGTATGATGTGTATTGTGACCGTGTATGATCATGTGTGCCTGCGATTGTGTGTGCATGCGTGTGCATGGTCACATGTGTGGTTGTGTGTGAGATCACGTATGCACGGCTGTATTCTATATGCGTATGATTGTGTGTACCTGTATGGTTGTAATTATGTGTGAACACGTGTGCGTGTGTGTGTATGTATGAAGGTCCCAGCACAGCAGCGCCCTAGGAAGGCTCAGGATCCCTGAGCTGCCTTCAAGTGGGACATACTGCCAGGTGGGACAGGTGCACAGCTCAGAGGAAGGATGAACGGGGACAGAGGAGGGACCTGGACACTCGGAAGAGGGGTCTTAGGACATGGAGCCAGGAGTAGCGAGGCCCAGAACCCCCACCTCTGCCTGCCCGCACTTTCAAAGTGCCCACTGCTCCCAACCGGTGCATTAAGAGAAACCAGTGCTCAGAGATGGTCATGAGCCACCTGCACCCGCATTAAGGAATCCTGGAAAGGAGCTCTCTGGCCAGGGATACCGCTGCCCTCGTTACTAGCACCCTGGGAGCCACGGCAAAGACCTTTCTGGAAACCTCAGAGACCTGGGGGAGCGCTGGTGTCCAGGGCTCCAATCCCAAGGAGCTCCTGCGACTGGCCAAAGCACTGCGCCCTCCACACCCTTGCCTGCCTTGCTCTCCCCACCCAGAAATGCAGGGCTGGGCTCTCCTGCTTCTAATGACCCTACCCCAGCATCATAAGAACACGGCAGAGAGCTGAGGATGCAGTCAGGGAGCCCAGAGTGACGGGCACAGTCCTCGGGCCCTTCCTGCCCCAGGCTCACCCACCCTGGAGCAACGCAGCAGCGGGAACAGGAGGGCGGGGCGATCGCGGGGGTGGGGCCGGCACGCACCTTCATGCTGGGGATGATGCGCAGGAAGCGGAACACGATGAGCATGTTCAGCATGCGGGTCATGTCCCACAGCGACAGCAAGCCCAGCATCTCCGGCCTCCTGGTGGAAGACACGGGGGTCGGGTTGGGAGGGGCCCAGGAGTCCCACGGGGAGGAGACAAGGAGACGTGTGGGCTCCTGGACAGAGGCGCAGGGAGGGCAACAGCACGGAGGAGAGTGCACCCCACAGCCAACGCCCGAGCAGAAAAGCCTCCGCAGGGCGGTGAGAGGGCGGGGCCTGGGTCACTCACGGCTCTGCTTCCACCTGCAGCCCGGGAGCGACCCCCACTCCCCCAACACCTGCCCACCCAGTCCTCGCAGGAAGCCTGCAGCCCTCCTTCTATACAGACCCTCCGTCCACACGGGAGGGCACGGAGGCTCTAGACACTGAACTTGCTCCAGCTCAGACCCCAGCAGAACTGGTTGAGCCAAGTCTCCTGCCTTGGTTTCCTGCGCTTGGCGGGTCTCTTTCCATGCTTTCATTTCTATTGAAACTCAAACCCATTCTCATCCAGTGTGTCAGCCCCCCAAGGTAATGACTTAGACCACAGTGCAGCTCGCATGCTCAGTGCACGTGAAAGACGAAGCCACGCTAGCCCCATGGCGCAGCACAGTGGCACTGCCTGTCTTCCTAAGTCCTGGGGGGCTTCCTAGGGAGGTGACGGAACAGCAAGCCTCTGCTGTTCACCGTCCCCACCCCCTCCAAGTGATTCCCAGCTGCTCCCTAGGCAGGGGGGTGGATAACAAAGCACACACAGACCCAGGGAGCCTGGCCTAACCACAGGGCCGAGGCTGGCATGTGGGGCCCTGTGCCCCACCCTTCCTGTCTCATCACGGGCACACCGGAGCCACACTGCCAGGGCAGAGCAGCCTGGCTGACGGCCAGGGCAGAGTCCCTGCCCAGGTTGTCTGTTCATGGCCAGAACCCTGGCAGTGAGGAATCAGCACACTGCATCAGAGTTCAGCGAGCCCCGGGCCCCTGGCTCCACTATTTTAAGGGGGCTAAAGTGACATCCAGAGTGGGAGGTGATGACTCAAGGTCACACTGTGAGTCAGGGGCTCTCCCAAGGACCTTCCCGCCAGCAGAGGGGCTCAGCCCAACCCCAGTGATCACAGGCCCCCTGAGACCTGAGCCAGGGGCATCTCCACTGCCAGCCCCCCAGCATGTGTGCTGGGACAGGGAGCCCACTGCCACTGTGGAGGGCATCTCCGAGGGGGAGCAACGGCTTCCCTCCACAGCCTGCAAGCGCCAGCTTCTGGAGAGAGGACGCCCAGAGCGACGGCAGGGCCCTGCCCCGACACAGCCTCTGCTGAGGGATCGGCTCACCCATTCCACCATCATGGGGTCTGCCCTAGAGTCAGAACAGACCCAGCGGGCAGGCCTGGCTCCCTGGACACCACTGAGACCCTCCCAGGGGTGCTAGGTGGTGGTGCTGTTTGCTGTAGCCGCCCTCGGTTCTGCCCAGTCACATACCAGCCTGGGCGTGGCAATCGGTACACAGCCAGAGTTGAGATCTCCAAAACCTTTAATTACAAAAGAAAAGAAGGCTTCGCTACAGCAACACTAATCTGGGCAGCCCTTAAAGGATATATAAAGCTCATCTCTAACACATTCTCCCCAAAAGGGGCTTTTGGGGAGAAACCAGAGCTTGGTCCTGGACCCCGTGGGTTGGCTGCAGATGTCGGGACTCCCTTCAGCTGGAAAGAAACCCTGGCCTCAGGAATCGGGGGACTCAGGAATTGGGGGCCTCAGGAACCGGGGGCCTCAGGAATCGGGGGACTCAGGAACTAGGGAACTCAGGAACCGGGGGCCTCAGGAATCAGGAATCGGGGGCCTCAGGAATCGGGGGACTGCACAGATTGGGGGCGGGGATGGCAGAAAACTACTGAGTTAAGGACAGACCACAAGGCCCTTCTCAAGTTTCTCTTCACCCGCATGCCGAGCGGCCTGCCAGCTACAGCAAACGTCACTCTGATGTGGCCGCCTGTGACACACACCCCGAGGGTGACATGCCCTCACTCCCACGGGGTCTGGGGAAAGGAAGTGTAAGCGTTTCCCGAGAACACCCTGGTGCCTGAGAGCCCCCGGCCCCTCGCTCCACCATGCTGAGGTCACACCGTCTATCAGTGACATTAGAGGCTGTGCCCCGGGCTGGAGTCGCTGGCCAGGGCTACGGGTCCTTCAGGGCCTCCCCTGGGGGTCAGGAGTGGCAGCCTGTCCCCCATGACACTCAGATGCAGTAGAAACCCAGCCTCCTAAAGCTGCCACCGGCTACCGACTGAGCAGCTCGGCCAGAAGGGAAGCCAGCCCTCACCACTGAGAACAGAAGCCCACCTTCCCACAGCCTCTGGTCCTCAGGGGAGGCCTGAGATGGGCCAGCACAGAGCCCAGGTGGTGCTCACCCACCCGCCCAGGAGAGGCCGGCCTCGGACGCGCCTACTTTACCAGCAGGACAATGGTGAGGAGCCCATCAAACACGTTGCTGGGATAGGACAGGTACCCTCGCAGGCCCAGGGCAAAGACCTTGAGCAGCATCTCCAACAGGTAGTACACAATGAAGACACAGTTGAGAATCTAAAGAGGCAGAAGAGGCACCCAGCATTGGGCCCCAGGGCTGGCAGCCCTGCCCAGCCTCACCCTGGCCCTGCCAGGTGGGCAGCTCAGAACTTACCCCCAGGACAAAGTCATCACGCTCAGCAGGTAGCACATCTGCATCCAGCACCAGGAACACCTGCGAAGCCAGAGCAGAGGGCTCACCGGCTGGCCCGGCACAGCCCTGGGCGAGGCAGGCGGGGCGGGCTCCCGTGCAAGGTGGGTGGGAACAGGCACCTCCAGGCCAGCTCTGAGGCAAATCCGCACTCACGCAAATGGACACCAGGTTTGCCAGGGCGATGAGGTTCCCCAGGTAGTCAAAGTAGTAGTGGCCAAAGATGAACTGGGCACTCTGCAGAAACGGGGACTGGTACTCGGGCCTCGGCGGGTGCTGGGTAAGGAACACACACGCTCAGAAGCACAGTCCAGCAGCCGTGGCTGTTGCAGCCCAAAAATGCTCATGCCCTCTTATTCTGGGATTAGATTTTTTCCTACCTCATCTCCCATCCTATCTATCCAGTCACAGGAAATAATCCCAGACACAGAAATCGCTTTATACATTGAGGTGTTCATCTCAGTGGTCTTTGTAACACCCAAAGAGAAACAGAAGCAACTGAAATGTCCACCGAGGCTGTAAGGAAACCATGCTGTGATATTGGAGTCACCTTAGATGTATGCAACGTGTCACCCTGATCTTTAAAAACAAAAAAGCTGTATGAAAAAACACATGTAAGTGATATGCTCATAGCTACAGAAACAGCACAGAACCAACTCCTGTACGGGGCCGGCAGCGGCAGAAGGCAGTGAGGGGCAGGCGGGCAGCCACTGCCACCGTCGGGATCCTCGTGAGACCCAGCACTTCCCACACTCAGCAGCCTCCTTGAGACACGTCCATGTGTGCACGAGGTCGACAACGGGAACGGCCTAAATGTTTCCCAGCAAGGGGACCTGCACCTGCCGTCCCCCACAGGGGCCACTGACCCCCGGCGGCTATTTCATGAAAATTTCAATGCAACAAAATTCAACACTCAGTTATTCAGTGGCAACAGCCACATGTCAAGTACTCCACAGCCACATGTGACACGTCGCTACAGCTCATCCCCCCAAAAAGTCCATACGAAAATGGAGAGGGTGAGAAGACACGGCTGCATGAACAGGCAGGCTGCAGAGTGAAAATCGCGATGCTTCATGTGTATGTCAAAGAAGAACAAAGCAACTGTTTCCTCAGGTACCTACAAATGCCTGAAATTACACGGGGAAAAGTCTGGAAGGAAAACACCAAAATAGCCAGTTGAATAGAGTGGCTACTCTCCAGTGAGATCCAAACTGGTGGTGCCAGTGATCAGCGGACTTTCTCTCGGCTCCCGATATCCTCCTCGACATGCACTCTGCCACAACGGCAGGGTCCCTTTCAGCGTCTCGTCCGCAGTGAGAGGGAGGTGAGGCTTTCTCAGCAGAGGGGCTGGAGGGACATGGCAGGAGGGCAAATGGAGGGACACCACAGGAGGGCAGGAGGGCAAATGGAGGGACACCACAGGAGGGCAGGAGGGCAAGTGGAGGGACACCACAGGGAGGGGCAGGAGGGCAAATGGAGAGGGGACACCACAGGAGGGCAGGAGGGCAAGTGGAGAGGGACACCACAGGAGGGGAGCAGAGGGCAAGTGGAGGGACACGGCAGGAGGGCAAATGGAACACGAAGCGGGGAGGGCAAGGAGGAGGCAAGTGGAGGGACACGGCAGGAAGGAGGGAGCAAATGGAGAGGACACGGCAGGAGGCAAATGGAGGAACCTGGCTTGGGAGGCAGTGGAGGGACACGGCAGGAGGAGCAAGTGGAGGGGACACGGCAGGAGGGCAAGTGGAGGGGACACGGCCGGAGGAGGGCAGGAGGGCAAGTGGAGGGACACGGCAGGAGGGCAAGTGGAGGGACACGGCAGGAGGGCAAGTGGAGGGACACGGCCGGAGGGCAAGTGGAGGGACACGGCCGGAGGGCAGGAGGGCAAGTGGAGGGACACGGCAGGAGGGCAGGAGAGCAAGTGGAGGGACACGGCCGGAGGGCAAGCCTCCCCCATGGTTTCCGGATGCTACGGGGTGGATCGGGGTGTGGTGTGAAGCACATGTGGACACTCTCTGTCCCAGACACACAGTCCCCGGGCGACCTACAGCCGCAGCCTGACCTCCTGAAAATTTCCCAGCTTCCCCCAGTCCTCAGGGTGGAAACCAGTGCCCAAAGGCCATCTGCCCACACTGGCACACAATTCCCTCAGCAGGACAATGCCACCGCCTGCTCACAGCCTGAGCCTGCTGCACCCGGGAGGGTCGCCTCCTGCTTACCCAGTGACCACAGACCAACCGGAGCCCAGGGAGACCAGTGGACGTCTCTGCATTCCTGTAGGCGAACCCACACCTTCTCTCAAGAGGTCTGAACCCCGGCTTTGGAGGGTCCCCATCCAGGTCCATCCTTTCTCACGCACTCCCCTCGGCCCGAGGACACCACACGGTTTCCTTACATCTTACAGTTACTCTTTTATCGTAGTTGCCACTTCCATATACGACACTTTCTGTTTAACCCAGACTGACTGTGGCCAGGAGAGTTTTTAGCATTATCTGTATGTTTACATTGTTACAGGGAGCAGGTGTTCATACGTTATCTGTGTAACTGAGAAGTAACTGGTATGACTAAAGTGGTTGTCTCTGGGTAGAAAGCCAGTGAGGTGCATTTTCCCACTTTCCTCTGTTGTCTATAAAGAATGACCCTACATTTTTAACCCCAAAAGTTTCTTATATGAAGAGGAGACTTCTTTCAGCAGCAGGCAGGGCACCTTCTCTGGAGCTCGCCAGCAAGCACCAAACTACCGCCTGGCCACGGCCAGACTGACGCCCAGGCGGTGACCCCACACAGGAGGGCTCTCGAAAAGGCTGGCGCTCCCATGACGTCAGCCTGCCGAGAAAGCACCTCTTTGTGCTTCCAAAACCACAGGCTGCCCCAAATCTCCGCAATCCCAGAAACATCTGCCTCCCAAAACGGAAGCTCGGCCAGCCCTTCGCATCAGCGGGCTCTGATCTGCAGACTGAACCCACTGCAGATCGAAACATACTCAGGGGAAACAGCGTCTGTGCAGAGTGTACAGGTTTGCTTACCCGTATTCCCCAAGCTCCCACCGCATCCCTAGGTGCTAGGTATATTCTGAGTAGTCTAGAAATGGTTTAAAGTATACGGAAGGATGTGTGTAGGTTACCTGCAAACACTATATCATCTTACATAAGAGACTTAAACATCCATGGATTTTGCATCCACATGGAGTCCTAGAGGCAATCCCTGCAGATACCGAGGGGCAATGGCCTCCCCTCTACAGTCAGCATTATTGAGGAAAGAAGGTTTCAGAAAACCAAATTAAGGATCTCGCAGCTCCCAAAACCTGTGGAACCTAAACTCCCATCTCAAAGCCCAGTGCTCGGTGGCCCGGGAAGAGCATCGCTGGGACCTCAAAGGAGACGGCCGGGCTGGGAATCAGGCCAGGCCAGCCTGTTGGGCCTTCCCCACTCCTGCGCGCACACGAGCCCGCTCTACTGGGTCACGGCCAAAGCAATCCATCCACTCTTCCTCCACAGCATCACGGGAGGAGGAAATCCTTTCCAGGTCTCATCAAATCCTGACACTGGAAAAGGGTGGGAGAGTCAGCTCTGGACAACCAGGACTCAGCCACACCCTAGGGAACAGCAACAACGGTTCAGGGAGAGCCCAGATGGCCCAGAGCACACCAGGAGCAAAGCCTGAGAAACGAAAACCACCTTTCCAGAACCTTTAGGATGACTGGCTTCTCCCGGCCTGCGTCTGCCTGCCCCCGGAAGGGGCCGGATCACAGCAAACTAGCCTACGACAGTCGCTGAGTTGCTTCCTGAGCCCCAAACACCTCTGGCCCTAGGACAAGCGCCATTATCTAGAAGACTGCTTCTTAATTTTCTGTCATCTGAGGACCATCTCCACAGTTTCTGGGAAATCTGCACCTGCACCCAAATTTATTTCATATCTTCAAGGCAACCTTAAGTTGATACCACATTGCCCAGCCTTGTCCCAAGCAGAGGTTTGATGGCGTGAATACTCAAAGTGCCACCTGTTGATCCTCACCACACTCATCGCCCATGCCCCAAGGGGTTGGGGGGGCCACACTGAGGAATGCAGCCCTAAAGGGGATGCCCAAAGTGACAATGGGGACGAGCACGTGGCACTCAAGCTCAGGTTGGGGCAGGGTCTGACTCCAGAGGTCTGGAAGGACCTTAGGAAAACATGTTCTTTAGAGAACCACCTCTGACAGGGGCCTGCAGCCACAGACGCCGACAGGGAATCCTGAGGCAGGTGACAGCTGCTGGGGGCTGAATTTTGTCTCCCTCAGAATTCGTATCTTTAACCTCTAACCCCCAGTAGCTCAGAATGTGACTATATTTGGAGACAGGGCCTTTTAAAAGGTAATTTGGTTAAAACAAGACCATTAGAATGGGTCCTAATCCAATCTGAATAGGGTCCTTTTAAGAAGAGGAGATGACACACAGAGGGATGACCACGTGAAGACACAGGGAGAAGGTGATGTCTACAGGCCACGGAGAGAGGTCTCAGGTGAGGACACGGGGAGAGGGTGGCACCTACAAGCCACTGAGAGGGGCCTCAGGTGAGGACACGGGAAGAGGGTGGCATCTACAGGCCACGGAGAGAGGCCTCAGGTGAGGACACGGGGAGAGGGTGGCACCTACAAGCCACTGAGAGGGGCCTCAGGTGAGGACACGGGGAGAGGGTGGCACCTACAAGCCACTGAGAGGGGCCTCAGGTGAGGACACGGGGAGAGGGTGGCATCTACAGGCCACGGAGAGAGGCCTCAGGTGAGGACACGGGAAGAGGGTGGCACGTACAAGCCACTGAGAGGGGCCTCAGGAGGAACCAGCCCTGTGACACCTTGGCCTCGGACTGACGGCCAGGACCGTGAGATGACAGATGTCTGCTGCTTCAGCCCCACCCCTGCCCCAGTCTGTGGTGCCGTCCCAGGAGCCTGAGCAAACGAGAAACGTGACCCAGAACTGGCAGGCGTCTGCGACTCCGCCTCTGTGCCCCAACCCTGTTCCAGGGTCCGGCTCAGTCCTCTGAGGCTCAAGCAGCTGGAACGGCAGCCCCCGTGCTGCCCCCGCACCGCTGTGAGCGCCTGGGCTGTTTCCCAATGTCTCCGCCCCCCTGGCCCAGGCCTTCCGGACACAGAGCTTAGACGGCTGCTGAGGCCCACCTGGTAACTCTGTAAACCCGTGTCAAGGGCGAAAGACAAAGGCCTTGGAGAGGACCAGCATGCGGACCTCCTACGAAAGGACAGACAGGAAAAGGACAGTCTGTCATGGAAATGGAGAAAACCACTTGGAAGATTTATTTGTGTCAGGCTGGGCTCAGGCTAGTTCCTGGGGTCTGGGGAATTTCATAAAAATCTCCCCGATCTCCAAGAGCCAAAGAGATCTCCATTCCCAGTTCCCATCCTAGGAGCCAGGACCCTGGGCAGGCGAATCCCGGCGCCCATCGTTAGAGGAGTTCCCCAGGTGATCAAGGGTGGTGGAAACTGGACGGCCCCCACTATCCGACCTGGGCGGCTGTGGCCCCACTTACCTCTTTAACCACACTTCTGTCAAGCTCGTTGAAGAGTTTCTGAAACTCGTCAGCTGAGAGCGGAACACTGCCGTAGGAGCGCACCTTCTGCAGAGGAAGGAGCGCAGGTCAGCAGGGGCACCCGGGAAGGTGAACACCCTTGGAGGCGAGTGCCCCCAGCCCCAACCCCACCCCGATGGGCTGTGAACGCTGCAGGTGACCTCAAGCCACACACACAGTCCTGAAAAGGGGCTGCTGGCCCAAGTGACCTCCCGGGAGGAGCCCAGAGGAGGCTGGGAGCAGGGGCGGGTACCTCCATCATGGCCTGTTTGTGGAAGCTGTCCAGCTGGACCTTCTGAAGCACCTGCAGCAAGTTCTGGGGCTTCACCCCAACTCTGCAGGAAAAACCCACAGCCCAGTCAGCACAGCCAGCTCAGCCACCCTCGGAACCCTGGCCTGAGTCCTCCGGTCCTGGTGTCTGGCTTGAGCTTTGCCGTGAAGCCACTTTGCAGCCTGAGCCACAACAAGAGCCCCTGTAAGGAGTATCCTGCCACTGCCGTCCCCCCAAGGAGGGGCAAACTGCCTTCACCACTATGAGCAGTCAGGACCAGAACTTGCCACCGCAGTGTCCCTCAAGCTCTCTGCCCTCATTTCCAAGCAGGACGGTGGTGTGGACACCTGGCCCAAGCACCTCTGGCTCTGCTGCCTAAGTCAGCACAGAAGGGGGACAAGCAGAAGCCAGGCCACTCGGCCCTTCACCAGCCCAGGGTCCCTGAGGGGCACGAAGATAAAGGCATGGACTCAGGGCAACGATGCCGGGAACCACAGAGTGCCAGGGACATGGTGGTTTCTGTGAGTCGGGTGCCAGCCAGCAGCGGCAAGGGACAGGCCGAGCACGAGAAGCCCCTAATGAACACTCGGCCCCTGCCCAGCAGCCACAGTGCCCACCCTCAGGGAGAAGAGGGTCCATGCTCAGCACTCACGCCTGAGGGAAGGCTCCTCCCTCCCCCGCCGTGGAGGACAGGACTTCAAAGGCAGCCCGGGTCCCCAGCCGCCTCCGAAACAGTGAGGTCTGGAGCGATTTCTGCAAAGAGGAAGGCTCTGAACAGCAGGATCAGCCCTCCCCCGGCTCAGAACCCCCAACCCGTCCCTCCCCTGGGGAAGAGGCAGAGGGAGAATCTGGGCAGCCTTGGAGGGGGCCCAGTCCCCCATGCCTGGGGGCAGCCCCTCACCCCCCGGGAATAAGAGGACTGGTCACAGACTCCCTCACCCCCCGGGAATGAGAGGATGGTCACAGATGAACTCCTCACCCGAATGAGAGGATGGATACGGAAGACTCCGGAACAGGCCACACTGGTCACAGACTCCCTCACCCCCCGGGAATGAGAGGATGGTCACAGACTCCCGGAACAGGCCACACAGGAAGGTGTCTGACGGGCGTGCTGTGCAATACACTGGGCCATGTTTCTTCTCTGTGTGTTGGGGGGCCCCTAGCTCCCCCTCAAGAGGGTTCAGGGTCTGCTGTCCTGGGAGCTGCCATCTCTGGCAGTGGCGAGAGCAACAACATATGTGTATCCCCAGCGGATCCACAGGAGGTGGCAACCCTGCCCTCCCGTCCGTCCCACCAGGAGCCTGGCCAGCAAGGGTCACCCAGCTGCTCAGCTCAAGCCACACCCCGCTTGGCCTCCCGGCAGCTCCAGGCAGAGCCAGGATGGAGGCGCTCGCTCACCATCAGGTAGCCCCGGAACTGGCTGTAGATGATGGCCGTCAGCAGGTTCATCAGAAACAGGCTTCCTTCAAGAGGAGACAGCCACGGTCAGGGTGCCACCAGCACAGCAGCAAAACCAACGCCAGGGCAGCCGGCACAGGACAGCACAGTGCGGGGGGCGCCCCTATCAAATGGAAATGTGGCCTGGCCAGCACAGTCACGGGTGGGAGGGCGATGAGGTTGACGGTGATCGGTGATGACAGAACAGAAAGCGTGGGGAAGGGGCTCCCTGGGGTGAAGCTGGTGGTGGGGGCTCCCCAAGGTGAAGCCGTGGGGTGGGGGATCCCTGGGGTGAAGCTGTTGGTGGGCCCCGCTTGGCCTCCCGGCAGCCCAAGTGCTGTTGTTTCAGATGGAGGCGCGCCTCACCACCAGGCAGCCCCCGAACCGGCTGTGCAGATGATGGCCGCCAGCAGGTTCACTGGGAAACAGGCTTCCTTCAAGAGGAGACAGTTACTGTCAGGGGTGCCACCAGCACAAGCAGCAAAAACCAACGCCAGGCAGCCGGCACAGACAGCACAGTGCGGGGGCGCTTATCAAATGGAAATGTGGCCTGGCCAGCACAGTCACGGTGGGAGGGCGATGAGGTTGACGGTGATCGGTGATGACAGAACAGGAAAGCGTGGGAAGGGGCTCTGGGGTGAAGCTGGTGGTGGGGGCTCCTCAAGGTGAAGCCGGGGTGGGGGATCCCTGGGGTGAAGCTGCTGCGGGGATCCTGGGTGAAGCTGTTGGTTGGGGATCCCTGGGGTAGCTTGGTAGGGATCCCTGCTGAAGTTGCTGCAGGGGGCTCCTGGGGTGAAGCTGCTGGTGGATCCCTGGGTGAAGCTGCTGTTGGTGGGGATCCCTGGGTGAAGCTGTTGGTGGGGCCCCTGCATTGTAAGGGAATCCCTGGGTGAAGTTGGTGCAGGGGGGGCCTCTGGGGTGAAGCCGGGGTGGGGATCCCGGGGTGAAGCTACAGGGGGCTCCCTGGGTGAAGCCGCAAGTGGGAATCCTGGGGTGGCTGTTGGCGGGGCTCCTGGGGTGAAGCCGTGGGGTGGGGGATCCTGGGGTGAAGCTGTTGGGGTGGGGGATCCCTGGGGTGAAGCTGTTGGCGGGGATCCCTGGGGTGATCTCTGGAGTGAAACACACGGATGTGAAGTTTCAGGTCATGGAGGGAGCGGAGTATGCCGGTCCCTGAGCTTTCAGGATCCTGTCACAGAATGCTGGCCACATTACCTTCACTCACCTATCACGGTGAAGACTATGAAGAAGATGGCGTAGGCCCGGTTCTTGGAATATGCAGGAATCATCACTGAAAGAAAAAAGAAATAACGCAAACTGACAACCTCAGTTCCTGATCCCATTCCCATCCTGACCCTACACTATTTGCTTTTGCAACAGAAAGGAGGTCTCCACTGTAGAAAGGAGGTCTCCATTGCCGAGAGTGTTGGCTCACACCTGTAATCCTGCACTTTGGGAAGCTGAAGCGGGTGGATCACTTGAGGTCAGGAATTCAAGACTAGCCTGGCCAACAGAGTGAAACTCTATCTCTACTAAAAATACAAAAATTAGCCAGGCGTGGTGGCTCATGCCTGTAGTCCCTGCTACTTAGGAGGCTGAGGCAGGAGAATCGCTTGAACCCAGGAGGTGGAGGTTGCAGTGAGCCGAGATGGCGCCACTGCACTCCGGTCTGGGTGACATAGCGTGGCTCTGTCTGAAAGAAAGGAAAGGAACAGGAAAAGGAAAGGAAAAGAAAAGAGCAAAGAAAAGAAAAGAGGTCTCCTGGGAGGACTGAGAGGCCTGCCTGTCCGAATTCGATCTCTCGCCTCTGCTCGCACACCCTCCAGGATGGGGAACTCCCTACCTATCAAGGATGTCCCTCTGTGCGCAGAGCTCACAGCCTCCCTGCAGCCCTCCCCATAGACAGTCCTGCTCCCCCTGCGGTCACTTGCTAGGACTCAGAGGACACAAGAGACAGCACTCAGGGTCTGCAAGATGAAAGGTACCAGCCAGGGTGGCTGAGCCACAGCCAAGCCCAGGACCGTGGCCTTCATCCTGGCCACACCTGCACCTGAGCAGCGGAGACCCCACCAGCATCACACAGGGTGAGCATCATGGCTGGTAAGACCCTTGGCCCTCACGTGCTGCTGCCCAGTGGCTCCCACAGCTGAACCTCAGCAGCAACAGGAGTGTGGGTGTGTGGAGCTCCAGCAGGACGGCACCGGGAGACCCCTCTGACCACTGACCTCCAGTTGGAGGGCACCGGGGGACCCTCTGACCACTGCCATCATCACCCTATGAAGAACACCAGCCACTTTCAGCTTCTCAGAGGAGTGAGACGACGAGGAGGAAGAGGAGACGAAGAGAAAAGGGAGGAAGGAGTAAGAAAGCAAAGGCATGAGACAGAAAAGGAAAGAAGGAAAGAGAAGGGAGAAGGGAGAGGGAGAAGAAAACCAAGACAAGGAAGAAGAGAAAGGAAAAGAAGGGGAGGAAGGAAAATGTCACCCTTTCTTCTCCACTTGTCGATAAAAAGGGCTCGGACACTCCCGCTGGGTGCTAAGGCTCAGCGGCCCAAACCGGCCCCCCATGCTGGGCTCACTGACCCCCAGGGTCCCTCCCTGGCCCTGCACGCACCATCGGGGTTGTTGGCCGTGGTCAGCAGCACCAGGAGGGAAGTCAGAGACTCAGGCAGGTTCTGGAAGTAGGTCAGCCTCTCCCTGTCCTGCCCATCATCCTGCTGAGAGCAGAAGCAGCAGCTCCAGGGCGCCACTGGGTCCCCACCCCACAGGCTGAGCCCCGGGCCCCGGACCCAACCGGCTGGAACCATCCACCCACTGCCCAGCCTGCATCTCCTGTGGCCTCCCAGCAGGCTGAGCTCATGGCCAGACAGCACCGAACTCCGGATCTCAGGGCGCAAGAGCGGGCACCCAGGAAGACCGCTCACCCGCACGGACATGGCGCCTGGAAGCAGGACGGTTCAGAACCACAGCAGAAAGCCCTCAGGCCACCTCGCCTGCTCACAGCCGATTCTGCCATGCACTGTGCGGGCAGTGAGGCTACAGGGCAGGGGCAGGCAGGGGCAGGAGGGGCAGGAAGGGCAGGAGGGGCCCAGGCTGCCACGGTGGGATAGGTTGGGCCCTTCGTGAAGCCTACTCTAGAGGCTGTGTGTGTATCAGGACCCATGGCCACCCACGGGACCCAGAGGCACTATGCTCGTGGCTGTGGTGAATCACAGTCATTGGCAAGGGGGCATCCACACCAGAGTCCCTATCCTCTCTCCCTCCTGAGAGGGGTCCCAGCCACAAAACACAGCTGGCACGTGCAGGGTTTCTGCTCGGAAAGCAACTCCACTCGAGACTCTGGGCTCGGGGCTCTCACTGGGGCCAGGCTCGTGGGCACCCTCTGCCGATCAAGCCTCTAGACTCCCAGCTGGAAGATGCCCAGCTGGAAGATGGGTGGTTCCTGCAAACCAGACTGGTTGTGTGAACTGGATGGGCCGGTGGCACAGCGGGACTTGGCACACAAAGCACACAAACTTAGGGATCGTTTCAAAGCCACGAGCCCAGCTGCTGGCGAAGGGGAGACCTCGCACGCAGGCCCTGGCACGGAGGCACCTGTGACGGCCACTCTCTCTCACACAGGCTGCCCTTCCGGCCTCACAGCCACATCAGTAGCACTGAGGCCTGCAAGGTCTCACCTATAAAATGGCCCTGTCCCCTCATCTGCCCAGTCAGGGGCTCCCAAGGACACGTGAACTAATTGATGGTGAAGACGCCACAGTCTGCTAAGGGGAGGGGGCACAGGGGCCATTGAGAGGAAGTTAGAAGGCAGGGAGCACTGTCAGGCACAGAGCCATGGGTAGGGACAGGCTCCCCTGCTGGGAAGAGCAAGGCGGGCCCCTCCTGGGCCTCAGCCCAAGCCAGAGTGGAGGAGCAGAGCGAGGCCTCTGAAGCCTGGAGGCTGGCCTCCAGCGGTCACCAGGGACGGCAGGACTGGAGCACTGGGCTCAGGCCTCCTGGGCCTCCCCACTCCCACTCCCACCCCCACCCAGTCAAACCACCACATTCCCGAACGTAAAACAACCCACCGAGCGCCCACTGAGCAAGGTTCAGGGCCAGGCTTCGAGTCGGCTGAGGAAGGTTGTGGCACCCACACCACCTAACAGATGCTGAGGTCCACACAGCCGACGCAACTCCCCTGCCCGGCCCTTCTCCCACCCCACACTGCGCCTCGCGGCAGGCCTCACGCTCCTCCTCTGCAATTCAACCCCTGCTCGGGCAGACCCTAGGCGTGACCTCCCGTACCTACAGCCCAGCCCAAGCCACAGCTCTGCGAGGGACACGGAGGAGCCCTGGGCTCCCGCCCAACCTGCCACAACCAGCAACGATGGACCCGAGCCAGCCCACAGCCCCGACCTGAGAAACGTCTGTAAAATGGGACAGCACCATCACAGCTGCTGGGAGACCACACACCCCAGCACCAACCCTGGTTCTTGGAAATCAATCCAGGTTGGAGCTTCACAACGAGCAAAGCCAGCAGAGGACAAGCAGGCTGGCTCTGGACCGTGCTCACAAAGGTAGCTAAAGCAAGGCAGCAGCTGCACCCTGCCAGCAGGAGCCGGTGATGCCAGCAAGGCCATCCAGAAGCACAGCCTGGCTACTGCCCCAGGCCAGGCTGGCAGGGCACGATGGCCGGGGAAGGAAGGCAGGGACAGGCCGGCCACCATCCCATGTTCCTCTCAAGTTCTGCCTCGGACAGGGATCCAGACTCCTGCCAAGACCACAACAAGCGCTCTGACCCCTCACACAAGGCACACCTTGCTCCCCCAGGGCCGTGCCATGGGGCAGAACCCCACGCCTAGAGGAGGAGCCGGCCCTTCCTGGTGCCTCAGGATGGGACACTCGGCTTTCCCAGGCGGAGGATCACACCCCAGCCTCAAGGCTGAGGCTGTTGCCATGTCCAGCACCCACAATGATGACATCCACCTTGTATGGGCTCTGGGAAACAGCGCCACTGCAGCAGTCACTGGACAGTCACACAGAGGAGGGCCTGAGATTCCGTCAGCCAGTTCCATCTCCACAGCCCAGCTGCCCCCGAATCACAGCCATTGGCAAGGGGGCATCCACACCAGAGTCCCTATCCTCTCTCCCTCCTGACAGGCACACAAACACATACACACAGAGACACGCACGCACGAACACACGCACACAGGCACACAGACACCACACACGCGCACAGGCGCACAGACACCACGCACGCGCACAGGCGCACAGACACCACGCACACACACACCAGTCACACAGAGGAGGGCCTGAGATTCCACAGCTAAAGCTCCATCTCCACAGCCTCCAGCTGCCTTCGAATCACAGCCATTGGCAAGGGGGCATCCACACCAGAGTCCCTATCCTCTCTCCCTCCTGACAGGCACACAAACACATACACACAGAGACACGCACGCACGGTCATTAACACACACAGGCACACAGACACCACACACGCGGCAAGACAGGCATTGCACACCACCGCGACGCACAGGCGCACAGACAAAATTAAGACACACAATAATCGCATGCACACAGACACGCCATGGCTGGCATGATGAAAAGGTATAAATACCACGCACGCACAGGCGCAGAGACACCACGCACACACACACCACGCATGCACACAGGCACCATGCACACATGCAGACACTACACAGCAAACAGACATACAGACACCACGCATGCACAGACACCACACCACACCCCACATAAGACACCACACACACACACAGACATACAGACAAGCCACGCACACACAGACACCACACACGCACACAGACAACAGACTCACACACAGACATACAGACACTACGCACACACAGGGGCTCACTCACTGCTTCCGCCCTGGGTGAGAACCCGGGCTTCAGCCTTCCCCTTCTGGACAACACACAGCAAACCCCAACGCAGCCACAAATGAACAGCAGCACAGGCTGAGCACTGTCCACTCCCACGACAAAGCCACAGCGATGCAGCGTGGACCCAGCCCCAAGAAGGATGGTGCCCTCGGCCAGGACGGGCGAATAAACTCGTAACAGTGCAGCGGGGTAGGGAGACAGGCAGACGCCTCCACACAGCAGCGAGCTGCCGCGCCCTGGGCAGCCACAGAGGAGGATATGGTGGGAGAGACTAGTGGCAGGAGAGGGCGTGGGCGGTGAGGACCCTCCCAATAGGCCAGCGCAGCCTGGGGGGCTGCAGTCAGAGAGGGTGCAGGGCAAGCCTGGTTGTCAGGAAGGATGAACGGGACTGGAGGAGAAACCAGAGGAACCACCCTCAGTGAAGGGCCTGGCAGGGAGGGCCGGGGAGGGGTGGGGAGACAGAGACAGGGAGGAAGGTAGGAGGGGAGGAGGACAGGGGATAGGGAGGGAGGGAGGGAAGTGGGAAGGAGGGTAGGGGAACTGAGTCAGGATGGGAGGGAGCAGGGGAGGGTTGGAGAGGGGCAGCCAGGACAGAGAACAAGTGGCCCTGAGCCCAGGAGACCCAGGACAGACAGGTATCCGGGCAGTGGGGTGGTGGAGCACTGTGGCCACCCGAAGGCAGGCCCCTGGACCCCTGATGGGCCACTGCTAACTCCTGGACAGAGTCTGCACATGGGTTAAGCCAGGGCAGTAGACACCAGCCCAGCCCCCTCTGTTAGTCACAGCACAGGGCAGCCCCATCCCCAGACCCTGTTGGAACCACTGAGAAGGCAGGGTGCCCTACCTTCCCGCCAGCGAACAGCAGCATCCCGAACATGGTGAACAGGCACAGGTGGATGGCCAGCAGCAGCCCGACGCTGGGGGAGAGCGTAGCACTCAGCCTGGGCCAGGCGGGTGGGCAGGCAGGACCCAGGGACACCTGACCTGCCTGCGGGGCTCGGTGACAGGAGCGCCCAGGAGTCTGCAGCAGCTGGGTCCCCCTCTCCCTGAGGGCCTTGCCTCATGCTCAGCTCATGGGGCCCAGAGGAAAGGCCTGGTCCTGCCCTGGCAGGGTCCCTTCTTTGACAGTGACCAATGAAACCCAGGGGGCCCAGCTGAGACAGCATCCAAGGGCCCAGGGCTCTCAGAGGGGGCCACTTCCACCCACCTGAGCTGGATGGTGAGGGGTCAGCACATGAGCCACTAGGGACTCGGGCAGCGTTGCCACTGGCAAGAGCAGAGGGTGACAGGGGATCGGGACCGGGGTGAGCCGAGGTGGATGGAGGCTGGGCTGGGGTACAGGGAGAGCGCCCCACGCTTCTAGTGGCAACAAGAGCCACAAGGACTTCCAAGCAGGGGTGCCGTCAGGAGCAGCTCGGCTTTATGAAGTCTAGGCTGGCAACGTGCAGACACCATGAGTGGGAGGGGACAGCAGAGGGGAGAGGCAAGGCGCAGCCACAGTGAGGACAGAGGGGACAAGAGGAGACCCATCGGAGAGAGTGCCCAGGGGACTCACAGCCTTTGAGCTGGGGCCACAGTGTCTGCAGCCCCGGGTCTAGGTCGAAGGCTGCTGGGAGGCCTCTGGGGAACTGTTGGAACCACTGAGACCCCAAACGCCCCCCCAGCAGCCTCCCCACACCATCACCAGCCAGCCAGGGATGCGGAGCAGGCAGTCCAAGGTGAGACTCCGATGGGCCCTGCCTGCAACCACATGGCCTGGGGCAGAGAGAGCCGCTTCCCAGCCCTACGAGCCCGGGGCACGAAGCGCCCACCTGGCCATTTCCGGCAGTGACCAGTGGATGCACTTCAAGGTCTTCTTCATCATAGAGGAGTTCTGCAGCAGGAAGAAGGGGCGGAGGAGCCGGCGGACGCGCAGAGGCTGGAAGAGATCCGGGCAGCTGAGCACCACGTGCAGTGCTTAGTTCCACCCCCACCGACCATCCCAGGTGGGCACACAGGTCAGAGACCCCGGTGCCCTGGAGGCCACTCCACAGTCACTGAGCTCGGAGTGGAGGGCCTAGCTCCAGAGCTGGCCTTGAGACCTGCTCCGGGTCACATGATCCGCAGTCCTTCCCCGTCGCAGGCCTCCCCCTTGCCCATCTCCCAACTCCTGGGCGCTGCATACACAGGCTCCCCAGTCCTAACACCTGTCCCCATCCCTGTCCAAGGTCATCCTCCCCTCTGCCCACCCAGGACACAGTTGGAAGGGTGGCGGCCCCATGCCTGCCTTGGGACCCTCCTGCCTTGCCCAGCACACCTGGCCTCCTAGGGTACCATCCCCGCCTCCCCACCCCTCACCCCTCACCCCGCCTCCCCTCGTGCCCCTGCCTCCAAGCCCTCCCCTCCCAAACACAGACCCTGCCCCCAGGAGCCCCACTTCCACCACCACCCCCCACCACCACATCCACAGCGCCCTCCAGCCTCACTGCTCCCACACTCAACCCTCACACAGCATCAATGTGACCCCTGCTCCAAAAGCACTTCCCCCCTCCCAGACACAGACCTGCTCCCAAGGAGTCCCACACTTCCACCACCCCCCCCACATCCCACCGCGCCCTCAGCCTCACTGCTCCCCACTCAACCCTCACACCGCATCAATGTGACCTGCTCCAAGCCTTCCCCTCCCAGACACAGACCCTGCCCCAAGAGTCCCGCCCACCACCCCCACATCCACAGCGCCCTCCAGCCTGCTGCTCCCCACCTCACTCATACGAGCGTCAGTGTGACCCCTGCTCCAAGCCTTCCTCCCAGACAGGGCCCTGCTCCCAGAGTCCCACTTCCACCCCCACATCCACAGCGCCCTCCAGCCTCCCGCTCCCACACTCACTCATGCCTCCCACTTCCACCACCCCCCCACATCCACAGCGCCCTCCAGCCTCACCGCTCCCACACTCACTCATACGGCGTCAGTGTGACCCCTGCTCCAAGCCTTCCCCTCCCAGGCACAGACCCTGCCCCCACGAGCCCCACCTCCACACCCCCACACTCACACAGCGCCCTCCAGCCTCACTGCTCCCACACCCAACCCTCACACGGTGTGAACGTGCGTCCCCTCCAAATCTCATGTTGAATCTGACTTCCCGTGTTGGAGGCAGGATCTAGCGGGAGGGATCTAGGTCATGGGGTGGATCTCTCGTGAACAGCCTGGCACCCTCCCTGCGGTAATGACTTCAGGTGAGGGTTCTCGAGAGATCTGGTTGTTAAAAGGAGTCTGCAGGCTTCTCTCGCCATGTGACACACCCGCTCCCCGTCTCCTTCTGCCACGAGTGGACGCTTCCTGAGGCCTCACCAGAAGCAGATGCCAGCACCATGCTTCCCATGCAGCCTACAGAGCCGTGAGCCAAATAAACCCCTTCTCTATTAATACCCAGCCTCAGGTCTTGCTTTATGGCCACGCAAAATAGACTCACACACACTCACACCCACACACACACACTCTCACAGGTATTCCCATCTTCACTGCCTTCCTCCTGGGAGGACAGAAGTGCCCACCCACAGTCTGTCAACCCACCCCAGTCTTCTCAGTGTTGGTTCAATCACCACCTCCTGCTCCAACCACCACACACCAGTTTCTCACAGCTTCCATCATGCCACGTTTCCCTACCCTCCCTTCTATTCACCCTCCTCCCCTGCTCCTGTCCCAGCCCATCCTCCCCTCCTGGCCACTGGGACCCACCTGGGGGTCCCCATGATAACCTTCCCATCCTGCCTGGCGCCCTCGGCACCAGACACAGCTACCTCGGTGCTCCCGGCTGCCCTGTGGGCCCCCCGCACTGCCCGATCCCTGTCCCCACCTCCTCTCTCTGCCTCACACCTGGATTCAGTCCCATGAGTATCACGTTTACACTTTGGCGCCTGCCAATCTCAAATCCACGCTCTCAACTGCAGTCTTGCCTCCTCATCAGTGCCTTGTTTTAGAAACGCAGGGCTGTCAGCTCCTTGCACAAAACCAAAACATTCCGACAGCTGCCCACGGCTCTGCCCATGGCCTCCAGGGTCCACAGAGCAGGCCCGGCCAGTCAGTCCAGCCCCTTCCCAGGCCTCAGAGGCCACGGCCCTCCAGCCGCCAGTCTCTGCCCTGCCAACCTGCAGACCACCACCTCTGCCAGGGCTGCCGGGCTCCTCTCCGGCACGGCACCCACCACCCTCGGGAATCACTCTCTGTATCTGGCACTTCCGTGCGCTGGCAGTGTCTCTGTCACTCCGGAAGGGGGTCTCAGAGGACAAGAGACCTGCGCGTTCTGTTCACCACGGTCCACCTGGCAGCAGCACAGCAGGCCCTCCGGAACGTCTGCAAGTGACTGATCCCCAGCACTCACTCCAAGTGAGTCATCACCCTCAAAACGGACCCCAGGGCCTGGCGCAAGACTGAGAAGGCCAAGGGAACCGCGGTGAACAGAGAACGGCTCAGGGCTCTGGCTCCTGCCCTGTGCGCCCAGGTCACCTGGAACCCACTCATTGCCCACTGGTTGGAAACTCTGGTCTTAGGGCCTGATAACAGAGGCTTCTCTCAGCCCCTCTACAGGCCAGGAAGACACTGAAGGTGCTGCTGGCTCGCCTCCCCTGCCCAGGAACTTGCACCCTCACCTGTAGTCAGACACAGACCACAGAACAGCTTCCCCAGACGCAAAAGCCCAACCCTGAGGGCCTTCCCTTGACAGCTGGGGCTGTGAGGCCTCTATGAGGATGGGAAGGTACATCCAGGTGACCAGCCTTCAAGGACAACCAACCACAATGCCAGTCAAGCCCCTGGGACCCTCAGACCCAAGGCTTTGAAGTCAAACCACGTCCAAACAGCCCTGGCAAAGACAAAGTGAATAAGCAAAACCCAACAGTGACCGGCAGCCCAGGTGTTATCCAGCTCCTCCGGTCACAAGGCTGGGGGCACCCGGTCCTCCCTGCAAGTCGCCCAGTGCCTGTGGGAGTTCTGTATGACTGGACAGCTGGCCACAGAGGAAAACCTCAAGCCTGGTTTGCAGATGTGCTGAGTGACGGCCGGTCCAGCCAGAAACGCACACACGCGCATTTCAGCCTCCAACAAGAAAGCGCCGCACGGACGCTGCGGAAGGCAAAGCTCTGCAGTGGGCGGTCCCCTGCGTGGACTGGAAAGGGGACATTCCCAGGTGGAGGACAGAGGCGTGGAAAGAGAGGATGGAAGACTGGGAACGAGGTCTGGGAGGAAGCATGTGGACTGGCTGCTCTGAACAAGCTGCTCTGAACAAGCTGCTCTGCACGGCACGTGGCGTGAGGGGCCGAGGCCCCACATGAACGTCCACCATGGGCACCGCGGAGAGGAGCCTCTCTGGCCAGGACGAGGCGTCCTGTAGATGCAGCTGGGCCTCTTCCCTCAGCCACCCTGCTCCTAACTCCCTCCACCACACACAAATTGGCCACCACGACAGACACGGAGGCTATGCCTGGTGCCAATAGCACAGCCGCTCAGCCAGAGACAGAGCCCGGCACCGGCCCAAGACAGCCCCCGGCAACAGAGGGGCCCTTGCCCATAACCGGCACTCATCTGTCCTCCCGGGACAGACAGGCGTGCAGGTTATGAATCTGCCTGCCCTGCCCCCAACGTCTCTGCCAGCACCATCCCAGAACTTGGGGAATGAACTCAGTGGGGCACTATGTCCCACTCACAGCCCTGCATATACTGCTTCCAGTGGAAGAGCTGGGGCAGCCCTGGCACTGCCCCACAGTAGCTGGCTGCAGGAAGGGTCCCAGAGCCTCAGGAAGACTCAGCAACGCTGTCGGCTTAGGGTCACAGGGCACAGCACAGGATCTGAACTGGAGGCAACTGGGCGGGGTTGTCTCTCCCCAGCTAGGACCCACTGGGACCCAGGCAAGGGCAATGGGAGTGAACATGGTGAAGAGGCACAGGGGGATGGCCAGCTTTCCACCTCCCACCTCGCCCATTCTGGGTCCCCGGTCTGGAAATATCCCCTCCCAAGGTGGGGATGCTTTCACCAGGATACACGCTGGTGCCAGTGGTCTGGACCATAGCTTGTTCATGAGAAGAGGGCTGCTGTGCAGCGGACTGAGCAGGCAGGCTGGCTGCTACCACTGAGAACAGCAGGGAGGGCTGAGTGGGGTCCTCTGGGGCACCTCTTACTCCTATGTCCCATAGGAAAAGTTAGCAAAGAACTCCAGCCTTCCAAAGGCAGGACCACCAAGGACTCAGGCCCCTCAGGGAGGAAGGTCCAGTCCCTGTGCCAGGTGAAAAACCAGGGCCAGCTGGGGAGTTGGCGGAGGAGAAGGGAGCACAGAGCAGGTGGCAGAAGAGATCCAGGAAGGGCCCACGGCCAGGTACAAAAACAGGCCTTTATTTGTTTTCTTCCTTGCTTGTAACATACACCTGTGTCCCTTTTTCCTGTCTCCTTCCCCATCCTAATTTCATATAAGGATTCTTGGTGTGGCTTACAATTTAGCCTGTAAGTTACAAAACATGATACAGCTGCCACGACCGTAACTCAGAAATGGCGGTGGGAGGGCCGTCCCCGCTCCCCTTGCTGGGGCAGTCACGGGAGAGGCTCTTCCTGTGCAGGGAGGAGGCTTCGGGACGCTGCCGGGTCAGGGAGACAGGAAGGAGGCGGCCACGGAGGCCCCACAGCAGCACAGTGGGGCTGCCCTCCAGCCACCCTTCCGCTCTGCCGGGCTGTGGCCGCGACGCCGCCCATTCCAGCTCTCTGCAGCGGCTACTCCCCACCAGGTCCTGCCAGCAGGGCCCTGGGGCAGGCGGACAGGAGACGCACTCACTAGGCTGCACCCAGAGCTTCCCAGCCTCCCCATCAGCACTGCTGGGACCAACCTCATTGAGCTTCTGGGAGGCACCAGCGCCCGCCGGGTAGCGCCCCCTCCCAGAGGGCAGAGGGCAAGGTCCCAGCTCTATGGGCCCCTCCCCTGGGCCTCCGGGTGCTAACAACCCCCATCTCTCCCCCGTGTGCCCTGCCCAGGGGTGGGGCTGCTCCGGCGGTTCTGGGTTCCACTGGGCTGCTTTCACTGTTGGTTTCTCGGCACCTATTTAAGGCCCTCTGTTCGTTCTCTCCACAGGGCACCTGCGGGGCTCTGCTTCCCGAGGAGACCCAGTGGATCCTGCTGACTCCACACCCACCTCTTCCCGCTCTGTTCTCCCAAAGCCCAGGGGGCGCTTCTGGGTGCTCTGAGGGGAAACCGAGACGCTGCGGTGGAAAGAGCTGAGTGTGGCCGGGTGAGGGGGCTTTCTCACTGTCAGGCCTCACAGAGCCTGGGGCTTGTGACTGTGGGGCATGGTGAGGCCCTGGTGTGGCGCTCTCGTCGGGCGCTGGGCGGACGAGGCCCTCAGCTAGAAAGTGGAGAGCTGGGAGGCCAGAGTCCGGGATCTCACTCCCAGGTCCGCCCTCACCAACAGGGTGAGCCACGAGGAACCCTGCGCCTGTCCAGCCCTCCGGGCCTTCATCTGCAAGACGGGAACAAGGCTCCCCAGCCAACAAGTGAAGAAGTGCCGCGGGAGGTGGGCAGTGCTGGGCGGGTGGGCAGGATGGCTGGCGGGCTCAGGGCTCCATCCCAACATCCCTGTGGGCCTTGCACCCACGCCACCCCCAGAGCTCTCCGCCTGTCTCAGGGCCGCCTCACCACCTACCTCATGACACACGAGACTCAGGGACACGGTCCAGTCCACCAGAGACACCACCAGCACCACGAGGTAGCCCAGCAACCAAAGGTTCTTCTGGAAATGGGCCCACCCAAACAGGTAACCCTGCAACAGAGACGGGCGGGTGAGCAGCAAGCAGCCCCACACACTGGCCCTGCAGCCAGAGAATGACGGTGCGCAGGGCAGGGACCAGACGACCAGAGCAGGGTGTGCCCCCACAACAGTGTGGTCCCCACGGGATGCTGAGCAGCGGTCAGGAGGCCCGAGCTCCCACCCAAGCCTGCTAGGGACTCACTGTGCAGCCTCAAGCAGCACCAAAGCTCTCTAACCTGGTCCTCATCAGTAACAGGAGGCTCCTGCCTGTTCTGCCTATGCAACCAACCACCTTGTGCAGGCTGAGAAGACAAGGAATGCATTCTGGAAAAGGCTAGAAGAGTACCGGCTCAGTGGGCAGGTCTCCGCCGCTACAGCAAGGCAGTTTGGGAAGTGAGGTCTGGTCTGTTCTTCCCTTACCTAACTGCCATTTCCCACCATCGAGAAAGTCCCCAGAGGGCGGTGGCTCACGCCTGTAATCCCAGCACTTTGGGAGGCCAAGGCAGGCAGATCACTCAAGGTCAGGAGTTTGAGACCAGCCTGGCCAACATGGTGAAACCCTGCCTCCACCAAAAATAGAAAAATCAGCCGGGCATGGTGGCAGGCACCTATAATCCCAGCTACTTGGGAGGCTGAGGCAGGAGAATCACTTGAACCCGGGAGGCAAAGGTTGCAGTGAGCTGAGATCATGCCACAGCACCCTAGCCTGGGCGACAGACCGAGACTCTGTCTCAAAAATAAATAAATAAAAGACAGCCGGGTGCAGTGGCTCACGCCTGTAATCCCAGCACTTTGGGAGGCCGAGGCAGGCAGATCATGAGGTCAGGAGATCGAAACCATCCTGGCTAACATGGTGAAACCCCATCTCTACTAAAAATACAAAAAATAAGCCAGGTGTGGTGGCACACGCCTATAGTCCCAACGCCTGGGGAGGCTGAGGCAGGAGAATCGCCTGAACCCAGGAAGGGGGAGGTTGAAGTGAGCCAAGATCATGCCACTGCACTCCAGCCTGAGCAAGTGCTGTCTCAAAAAACAGAGCGAGACTCTGTCTCCAAAAATAAATAAATAAATTAATTAATTAATTAATTAATTTAATTTAATTTAATTAAATAAAAGACAGCCGCCAGAGGTCACAGCTTGCTGATGTACCCTCTCTCACCTTCTGACACATCTCAAACACACCAACCATTCAAAAACCGCTATTAACAACCTCTTGCCAGTTTCAGTTCCAGTTGAAAAACCCCCAGACCTGCTAACCACATGAGGAGCTAAAAAGGAAGAAACGAGAAACTGCCCGGGGCCTGCAATCACACACGCCGGCATCCAGCCACAACCCTTGGTCAGCACACAGCCTGCCCTGCCCACAAGGGACTACAGGGCAGCGCCGGGCAGAGGCCCCACGCGACCGGGAGGCCACGTGAGCCCAAGCCCAAGGAGTGGCAGGGCTGGCGCTGAGGAAGGCTGCAGCCAGGGCCTGATCTAACACCATGGGCAGGGATGTGGGGGCTCCTGAGACCGCGGCATTGGAATCACTGTTTGACAAAAATAGAACACGTAGCCTGCACCTCCCTGGAAAGTCACCAAGGCTCTGACGAGGCTCAGAAGCTTAGGTGAGCACCAAAGCCCCACCTCCAGCTTCTAGGAGGACGTGCGTCACAGGCAGAATCCAGAGTCAAACATGCAGCAGCTGCTGTGTGCACAAGAAACCCCTTTCTGCCCCACGCCCGCCTCCTCTCCTCTTCTGTTTGGGGTGGCACGGTGAGCCTTGAGGAGGGACCGCCTGGGCCTCACTTATTCACTTGGGACCTCTCCTCACAGCAGCACTACAGACCCTGGACCATTCTCAGAGGCCCTGCCAGCCTGCGCCACCCACGAGGGCACACTGGCCTCAGTTTGCATGGTGGTGGGTGGGGAGGAGGAGGCTGGCTGGCACCGGGTTTGCATGGTGGAGAGGAGGAAGAGCTGAATGACACCACGGGGTTTGCATGGTGGAGAGGGAGGAGCTGGCAAGCACACCGGAGTTGCATGGTAGGGGGAGAGGGGAGGAGGAGAGCTAAAGCGGCACCGGGTTACCGTAAGTGGAAAGGGGAGGGCAATATTTAGCCTGCCTCAGGCGCTTGCTTGTCCAAAGTGTGCCTTCCTCCTGGGGTCAAATTACAAACTCTGGGAAAAAGGCAGCTGCGCTCCAGAAGAATCGAACAATAAACCAGGACAGCCAGCGGCCAGGCGCTGGGAGGCCTGGGCAGCCGTAGAGAGGCCTGGCACCCTTTCTCTGTCCACAGAGTCGCCACAAAAGCCAGCAGGCTTTTTTGCCGACACTCGGTCAGGCCGCAGGCGCTCAGAGACAGCGCGATAAGCGCCCATCACGCCCGTGCTGGTGAGGCGAGGATGGGGTCTCGTCAAAAGCCAACAGGATCAAGAAGATGGTGAAGCTCAAAGTCCTGGAGAGGAACAGAAACATGGCATGGAGTCGGCAGCCTCAGGAGGCCCAGAGCTGATCAGGGAGCTTCCCGGTCAGCGAGGCTGCTGCAAGCACGGACACTCGTGACTGGGAGATCACGCGAACCTGCTCAAACTCCAGTGCAGAGCTAACACAGCATTCCCAGAAAGGCAGCTTGTTGTCAAGGAGCCTTCCATCCTGGGCCGTCTCACTTTCCAGGAGAGGGCCTGATGGTAGCACGCCCTATCTATGTAACAGGAGCCTGCCTGGACCCTGAGACCAGGTGATCCCAGGTAGGAGCCAGCCGGTGGGGAGGGAGGAGAGCTGACGGCACACCGGGTTTGCATGGTGGAAAGGGAGGGCAGCTGACACAGCCTCTGCCTCAGGCGCTTGCTTGTCCAAGAAAGTGTGCCTTCCTCACAGGGTCAAAGTGCAAACTCTGGGGAAAAGGCAGCTCGCTCCAGAGAATCAGCAATAAACCAGGACAGCAGCGGCCAGGCGCTGGGAGGCCTGGGCAGCACGTAGAGGGCCTGGCACCCGCCTCACCTTCACAGAGAGGTCGGCCACAAAGACCAGCAGGCAGAGCACCTCGACACTCTCGGTCAGGCCGCAGGGCGGCTCCCAGGGGGCAGCGCGATAGCGCACATCCGCCGTGCTGGTGAGCGAGGATGGGGTCTCGATAAAAGCCAAAAACAGGATCAAGAAGATGGTGAAGCTCAAAGTCCTGGAAAAGGAACAGAAACATGAAAACGCAGGAGTCGGCAGCCCTCGGGGCCCAGAGGCTGATCAGGAGCTTCCCCGGTCCGAAGCGCGGGAGCTGGCACTGCCAGAGCACGGACACTCGTGACTGGGGAGATCACGAACCTGCTCAAAGCTCCATTGCCGAGGGCTAACCCCAGCATTCCAGAAAGGAACGCTTGTTGTCCAAGGAGCCTTCCATCACAGGCCGTCTCCTTTCCAGAGAGGACGATGGTAACCGCCCTATCTATGTAACAGGGAGCCTGCCTGGACCCTGAGACCAGGTGATCCCCAGGTAGGGGCCAGCCTCCCCTGCCACGCAAGCCGGCAGGAACCGTGAGTTCCACATGGGTGCGTTCTCACCGTTGGCAGACGTTCGAGTAATACCGTCGGTAAAGCCATATCGAGCTGGCATCCACCCGGTGATTGATGGAGCGGTACTGGAAGCAAAAAGTCACATGAGGCATGACAGGGGTGCGTGCAGGGTGGGCCGTGGCCCGAGCCCCACACCACACATGAGACAGGCCCAAGTCTCAGGCTGTGGATCACAGGGGACGCTTCAGTGTGTGGACATGGCCGGCCCTGACCCAGCAGGCCCACACCATCACAAACCATGAGGTCTGCCCAACACACAAGACCTCACAGGCCACACACCCAGGGCGGGTGGGTGTGTAGCAAACACTCAGGGAACACTTGCTGAGGGCATGGCCATGCCTGTGTCTGCCTGTGAGGCTCTCCCTTCTCTGTGCAAGGCTGACCCTCCCACGCCCCATGCAGCCATGCCATCCTCCAAGACACCCCCACCCAGGACCTAGAATGGGGTGGTCCCCAACAGGCCTCAGAACACAGTGCATCAAAGCAGCAAATGCATCCAGGATGCAGAAAACAAGTTCTCCGGGGACTAACGGAGAGCCGTGCCCAGAGGCTCCGCCCTCGATTCTCTTAACCTACAGTCCAGCAATGGAGATCTTGGCCCCAGTCAGTCACCCCTGGAGGGGCGAGCCAGTTGGAGGGTGGCCACCCCCCAGGTCAGGCCACAGGGAGCAGGTGCCACCGACCTGAATAGCATCTTCGATGAAGACCACAGCCTGATCAATGCAGAGGTCCCACCTGGCCGCGGCACCTGCAGGCAGAGGGGGACATCAGGTGACCGAGCAGGATGACATGGCCTCACCCTCCAGGACACCTGGGATCGAGGAAAGATGCCGGCTGCAGTTCCTCCCAAGGCCATGTGTAAAAAGATGACTCCACCCAGCAGTGGGGCTGCAAGTGCCTGCCCGGGACCGGGACCAAACCAGGTAAGTGCCTCGGCATCACGTGCGCAGGGCAGGCCCCGGGCACGGCGGCTCCGCCTGCAGCACACACACCCAGCAAGCCCGTGAGAAGCAGTGCGTCCTGCAGGGCCCCGGCGCCAGACTCGGGGTTCAGAGCCCGGCTCCTCCACATGCTAGCAGGAAGGCTGTGGCTGGCTCCTCCTCTGCCAAGTGGGGCTATTCACAGCCACCCACTCGGCTCCCCAGAGGGTACTGGGAGGTGCAACGCAGGAAGGCAAGAGCCCCCTGCCACACTCCCCAAGCATGCTCGGTACACGGGGCTGCTGTCAGCCCTCTTCTGCTTGGCCCGACCCTGGCTCCTGCACAGCCTTCATGAGCCAGGACACTGCACCCAGTGTCCCACCCACCCCCATCAAACTAGACCTCAGATTCAACACCGACAGGGAGAACTGGCATCTAGAACCCGAAGGCACCGCCGTGAGACTTCATGAGAGCTACCCAGGTTCCGTCCCCTCACTGTCCCGGCCCATGGGCCCAGGCAAGCCTACCCAAATCACTCCCAGGGTCAGAGCTTTGGGAACGCCCGGGTCCTCCAGCCTCCGCCGGTGCCTTCTGTGGTGAAGGGTGGTCGCCCGCCTTTACCAACAGCACAAGCAGGGTGGAGCCTCCCGACAGGCCTGGGCAAAGGTGGCAGTGGCTCCTGACTAGGAGGGGCCTTCAGGAAAAGTCAGGCGGCACAGAAGCCAAGGCCCAGCATCCTGGCCTGCCCACAAGCCCCTTGCCCGCCATGGAGCAGCCGGCGGGCACACCTGGTCAGTCACTGAGCCACTGCGGGAGGCCCGGGCCACCCACCCGCATCGCAGGCACATGCCACCTGTGTGGCCTCGCTGCAGAGCTGCTCCTCAGCAGGCCAAGGGAGAAGGAACGCTCAACCCAAAGCAACTGAGGAGCCCGCAGAGGCTGACACCTCCCAGCCCGGGAAGAGGGTGAAGCAGCTGCCTTTTCAGTTGAGACTCGGGTTTTACACCTGGCCCCTTGGGGCCCACAGCTGCACCAAGACAATGTGGTGACACGGGAGGCAGCAGCAGAGGCCTCGGGAGGTCCTGGTCCCCGGGCAGAGGTCCAGGCCATGACCTGCCCACTCTGTTGGCCATCCCTAGGGAGGCAGCTGCTTGGGGGCATGAGGTAGAGGCAGCTGGGCCCCAGACGGATTAGAGATGTGGGGGTCCCAGACAGAGGCAGGAGACCGGACCCCCACTGGCTCTGCTCGGCCCTGCTGCACTGCCGGAAGCAAGAGCCTTCCCTCCCTGCGGCTTTGGTACCCACGTGCACAGCCACGAGACCCACCCTGAGGACAGCCGAATGTCTCCCCAGGGAAGCTCTGAAAGTGGCTACTGTTTATGTCCCCTGAGCACATCCTGGGATCGCCGTGAACAGAAGCCACACTGTTTTGCTCCCTGCTGTATCTGCAGAGCCCAAAACTCAAGCACACAGGACTCAAAGCTGATGTATCCCATGAATAAACGAACAGCCCCGAGGGGAGCCTGGGGGGCAGGTGATCTGAAAGGCCCCACCTTACCAAATTCCCTGGGAGAAGATAGAATCTCTACCAGGAGAGATCTAGTGATACAAGTTTCTTAGACAAGAGACAAGCTGCCGAGTTCCAGGGCTCACTCCAGCCCCAGGACCATGGAAAGTGCTCACATCCACCCAAGCCAGCCATCCCGGGCCAACAGTGGTGGGCACCCCTGGAACCATCCCGCTTGTGGTTCCATTTCGCCTGGCTTTTTGGTTGCTGGTTTATAAAATTCTGGGTCTGGCCATCCTCCGTTTCACCCTGCAACAGCCCGAGAATCTTGCTCCAAACACTCAGAAGCACATCACAGCTTCCCCTGGGTCCCCACTATTCCAGGCCCACACTCCACCCTGGCCTGGCACTGCAGGTTCCCACATTTGTCGGCCTGCCCCCTCCTGTCTTTCAACCCTCCGTGCCACTCATTCTGAACTTGGCTCTGCCAAGGCCATGCTCTCCAAAGCCTCCCACCCTTTCCTCAGGTTGCGGCTTCTGCCAGGAGCACCATCCCCCAGTGTGTGGGTCCAGGAACTCCCTTGGGGCAGCTCGCCCCGCCTGAGCTCATTACCCTGGAGGGCAATCACCTGTCCACACACCATCACCCTATGGTTCTGCAGGGCACAGAGGACAACAGGGGCTGAGACGCTGCATCCAGCACACCAGGCCTTGACACGGCTTCCTAACCCAAGCCTCTGCCTCACAACATCCAGGTCTGAGCTCCCGCTCCCCTCTTGCTCCAGGCTCCAGGCTGCACAACCTGTGTAGGGTCCTGACCAGCATCCTGTGTGACCCTGGGCAAGTCCCTTAACCTCTCAGTGCTCCAGGTCCTTGTGGACTCCCACCCAGTAGGAGCTAAGTACAGACTGAATGATTTACCATAGCCAGAGTACTTTGCTATGTGAGCCCTTCATAAGCACTCAGTTACTCTGAAAGGCTCTAGAGCATTGTAATCCCTTGTCCTCTTTTTTGATAATCAGTAAAAGTGTGATTTTCTGACCCAGAAACAACAGAAAACAACTGTCCTCAACCTTTGACCCCAGCACCGTCAGGTGGAGCTAAGTCAAAAGGACCCGACAGCAGGGTCCACTGGGGTCCTCAGGGCGCCCACAGCAGCAGCCCCCCACCACCCATTGGCAAGAGACCAACCACAGGACTTGCGAACCAGAGCACAGGGCCTTCATTTCAAAGTCTGGCACAGGCCCCGGCACGGACACTGAAGGGGCCTTTGGGAGTCTCCATGGCTCCATAGTCTACCAGTCTTGCTGGGGACCCTGGCCAAGGAGATTCGGAACACAGAGCGTCCTGTCCACGTTCTCAGAAGCCCTGGCTGAGGCCACAGCAGAGGGACAAAGAGCGCTCCCTGAGAACCTCCTCTCGTCAGCCACACTGCCCAGCAGAGCAGGTCTCACCTGCCAGGGCCAGGACCTGCAGTGATCACGGTGCTTACCCAGGATGGCCACTGGCCCCCACCCCAGTCCATCAGGCCCTGTGCAGAAGACAAACTCTGGATGCTCTCTGAACCCTCACAATGCCCACAAGGCAGTCCCTAGTATTATCTCCCTTTTACTGAGCTTCAGAAAGGTTAAGCAGGGCCAGGCACGGTGGCTCATGCCTGTAATCTCACCACTTTGGGAGGCCGAGGCAGGCAGATCACCTGAGGTCAGGAGTGTGAGCCCAGCCTGGCCAACATGGTGAAACCCCATCTCTACTAAAAATACAAAAATCAGCCAGGCATGGTGGCGGGCGCCTGTAGCCCCAGCTACTTGGGAGGCTGAAGCAGGAGAATAGCATGAACCCAGCAGGTGGAGGCTGCAGTGAGCCGAGACCGCACCACTGCACTCCAGCCTGGGTGACAAAGTGATACTCCGTCTCGAAAAAAACACAGAAAGGTTAAGCAACTGCCAAGGTCACACAGCCAGGGTAGCCCCAGAAAGGCGCCCAGAATCCTAGACACAAAGTCTGTGTTCCCTGAACGCTGCCATATGCTGGGCGTCTCATCAAGGGGCCTGCCAGAGCTGCTCCCTGCAGATCTCCCTTCTGACTGGTCCCAGGAAGCACCTGAAGAACTTCCTGGAGGCAGCTTCTGAGGTAAGCAGACAGGGTGGCCACCTCAGTCTCTGGTTTTTCATCTCTTGTCAGGGTCCCCTCCTTGGCCCCCCATTACTCCATGGATGGGCATATGCCACTGACAGTGGGTGGCACCAATATTCCAACCCAGCTCCTTCCAGACACAGGAGGAAAGAAGGAAAGACAGGCCAGAGAGGCAAGCGGCCACGTGTGAATTCTCAGAGTGATTCGAGCAGCAGCCGCACCAGCACAGAGGGCTGTGACCTTGGGCAGGTCTCAGGACCTCTCTGGGCTTCAGTTTCCTCATCTATAAAGTGGAGCTAAGGTCCTTCCACCTCTAATCCAGAACCTAATTCCCCTGGTGTCAGCGAGGGGCGGACGCACCCCACCCTCGGGGGGATTCAGCAATCTTCAGACCAGGACAAAAAACAGGTACGGCAGGAGGGAGTGGGGAGGGGGCTCTGGGCTGGCTGAGAGCAAGGCGCGGAAGCCGTCACCGTCTAGGGGGCCCACCCCAGCCCCACAGGAGGTGGGACTGGGAAAGGCACCCTACAAAGAAAGGACTCCTAGCTCCCAGCTGGTTCGAATTCCACCTCTGCCACTTACTGGCTGTGTGACCTTGGGTAGGGTAACGCCTCTCTCTGAGCCTCTGCTTTTCCCAGAAGAAACGGGAAAAATCGAAGTGCTGCCTCCTCTGAGCCAATCAGGCGACCCTTGGGAAGTATGGGGTCTGGGCCCGCCTGGGCACACGGAAGGTGCCTGCCTGCCGCAGGGGGCCGGTTCCCTCGGGGTTGCCCACGGCTGGGCGAGGGCCTCTCCGCTCGGCTGGTCGGGATCAGGAAGCGACACGGAAGCGATCTCAGCTCTGCCCCGACCCCGGTCCGGGTCCGCAGGACGCAGCCCTCAGAACACCGGCTCCCCTGGCGCCCGGCGCGGCCCGGGCCCCGCTCGGACTCGAACCTGTTGGGGGCGCGCGGCAGGACGCTGGGTGCTGCGACAGCGGGACCCCCACGCGCGACCCCGGTCTCCCGGGCCAGTCCCCTCCCCGGGTCCGGGCGGCTCACCAGGGCCGACTTGGATGCTGCGGCAAGTGGTCAGCCCCGCCGGGCAGTCGCCGCCACCGCCGCGGGCCCGGCCCAGCAAGGGCTCCGACTCCGCCTTGGGTTCCGCCATCCGGTAGCCCGCACGCGGGACCCGACCCTTAGAAACAAGCCTCAAGAGCGCCCAGCTCCACTGCGCAGGCGCAGAGACCCCCGCCCCAGGCGTTCTGGCCGGGGAGCGCACGGCACTGTGACGCAAGGGATCCCTGCACTCCCAGCCAATGATAACCGGGCCAACTGCGTAGGGCGGAGCTTAAAGGGCCCCGCCCCTCTGGGGTGGAGCTCAGCTTCCTTCCACCCAGGGCGAGGCAGCGCTCTGGGGCTGAAGGGCCTAGTGCTGGGGAGGAAATACGTTCTCAAAGGATTGTCTTGACGGCCAGAAGCTTCAGCATCTCCTGGAAACATTTTAGAAATGCAAATATTTGGACCCTTCTAAACCTACTGCATCAGCACCTCTGCGGGCAGCACCCAGGAATCTGTTTTAACAAGCATTCGGGGTGATTCTGATGCATGTGAATACTGAGTACCTGGGGTGACTGCAAAGGACTCCCCCAAGAATGGAACTGGAGTTTACCCTCTGATAGTGAAATTAGGAGGATTCAATATAATTAAGGGAAGAGTTTAAAAACACATGACACACTTAAAAAACAATTACAACATATATAAAAAGTGTTTTCAACATTAATGCATTAAAGACCTTGTATTCGTTTTCTATTGCTACGGTGAGAAATTACTACAAACTTAAAATATAAAACAACTCCCATGCATTATCTTTCAGTCCTGCGGGGCAGGAAACCAGCAGCTCGACTGGGTCCCTGTCTCAGGGCCTCACAAGGCTAAAGTCAAAATGTCAGCTCCCGTGGGCTCTTATCTGCAGACTTGGGAAAGCCCACTTTCCAGGCTCATCCAGGATATTAACAGAATTGTGTCCATGGGCCTAGGACTGAAGCCCATGTCTGCTTGCTGGATGTTGGCTGGTGTCATTCTCAGCTCCTAGAGGCCACTGCATTCCTTCCACAATGGCTTGAACACCTCCATCATCAGAGCCAGCAAGCAAGAGCACACTGAAGACGCTTCAAGATGTAGCAAGTGCCTGTAATCTTAGCCCTTTGGGAGACCGAGGCTGGTGGATCACGAGGTCAGGAGATCGAGACCACCCTGGCCAACATGGTGAAGCCCTGTCTCTACTGAAATACAAAAAAATTAGCCAGACGTGGTGGTACATGTCTGTAGTCTCAGCTACTCGGAGGCTGAGGCAGGGGAATCGCTTGAACCCGGGAGGCGGAAGTTGCAGTGAGCCAAAATTGCGCCACTGCACTCCAGCCTGGCGACAGAGCGAGATTCCATCTCAAAAAAAAAAAAAAAAAAAAATGCCGCTGCAAGATGCTTCTCTGTGACTTCCCCTTCTGCTACGTCTCTTTGTTTTCTCCCCTGCTTTTGGGGAGGGGGGAGAGGGTTTAAAATAAATGTAACATAAAATGTACCATCATAACTGTGAAAGGAAAATAAATCTGAGGACCCCAAAGTCAATAAGCCAAAGGGAAAAGTCAAGCTGGGAACTGTGTTGGGCAAACCTGCCTCGCCTTTTGTTCTTTAACAAAACAGCTACAAAGATATAAAAAGCCACATACCTCCCTCACAACTTGCCCACTAGGAAATTTTTTGTGGGCCCCAAGAAGTTTATCCTAACACGGTTCTGTTGAATTTTGCCCTGACAATGTAAATTGGTAGCTGGTCTTCACAGCTTCCGAACAAAGGATGGAACTCTTAAGTCATCCCTCTGCTCGCCTGATTGCTTCCTCTGGTGTAAAAATGCAGATTCACTGAGCCAGACTAAGGCATAAGTGACTATTCCTCTACCCCCGCAACCTGTAAATTGTGTATTTCAGTGAAAGGCTGATCACAGACTCAAAAGAATGCAACCTTTGTCTCTTATCTCTGCACATATTTTTAAAATTTCTCCCTCTTTCCCAATATCCACCCTTTTCCTTTTTTTTTTTTTTTTTTTTTTTTTTTTGAGACAGAGTCTTGCTTCACTGCCCAGGCTATGGTGCAGTGGCGCAATCTCAGCTCACTCAGCAACCTCCACCACCGCACCCAGCCTCTTTCCCCTTTGAAGACTCCGAGGAAAGCATAGACCTGCCTCCCAGGCACTCCTTAACCTTGGCAAAATAAACTCACTAAATAGATTGAGACCTGTCTCAGGTATTTTTAGTTTATGAAACTATATTTCAGTGTACAGCTCATTGATATTAAATACGTTAATGATGCTATACAACTATCACCTCCAGCTCCAGAGCTCTTTTCATCTTGCAAAACTGAAATTCTGGACCCGTTAAGCACCGACTCCTCACTCCCCCAGCCCTTGGAAACCACCGTTCTCCTTTCTATCCCTATGATTTTGGCGACTCAGGGTTCCTCATATAAGTGGAATCCTGCAGTATTTGTTCTTTTGTGACTGGCTTATGTCATTTAGCCTAAAATCCTCAAGGTTCATCCATGTAGCATGTGTCTGAATTTCCTTCTTTTTTAAGGTTGAATAATACCCCACTGTATGTATCCATGACATTTTGCTTATCCATTCATCCATGGATGGGCACTGACTTGCTTCCACCTTTTGACTGTAGTGAACAATGCTGCTGTGAACATGGATGTAGAAATAATTCGTCAAGACTCTGCTTTCAGGCCAGGTGCGGTGGCTCACACCTATAATCCCAGCACTTCAGGAGGCCGAGGCAGGAGGATCACCTGAGGTCAGGAGTTTGAGACCAGCCTGACCAACATGGTGAAACCCCGTCTCTACTAAAAATACAAAAATTAGCCGGGCATGGTGGCGGGCGCCTGTAATCCCAGCTACTCAGGAGGCTGAGACAGGAGAATTGCTTGAACCTGGGAAGTAGAGGTTGCAGTGAGCCAAGGGCTCGTATGATTATGTCAGAGGCATTCGAACCAGAGCGACTCCATCTTGAGTGAGGACTAGGAAAAATGAGGCCGGGGCTTGTTGATCTGCATTCCCAGAAAGTGAGGCATTCCCAGCCTCTAGATGTTCACAGTTAAGGGAACAGATTGATAATGTTTACTAAATAGACCTAGACTTGGGAGTGTCCTGATATCCTGATATTTTGAGAACAGAAGCATTCCTAATTTTGCTTTAAAGAGAATAATACCGATCCTTGCAAAATACAGTAATTAAGAAAATTCTTTATCACAAACCCTGTTAGCAGAACACATGTCCTCATGATCTTTGATCTTTTATCATCCTATATATAAAGGAGTGTTGTACCTAGGGTGGATGCGTTCCTCCTTACTTTCCGGAACATCCTAACTTAACTCTGTCTATGGAGCAGCTGTTCTGTCACCACTTTACTTTCTCTTTTTTTTTTTTTTTTTTTTTTTTTTTTGAGACAGTCTCGCTCCATTGCCCGGCTGGAGTACAGTGGCGTGATCTCGGCTCACTGCAACCTCCACCTCCCAGGTTCAAGCGATTCTCCTGCCTCAGCCTCCTGAGTAGCTGGGATTACAGGCACCCGCCACCATGCCTGGCTAATTTTTGTATTTTTAGTAGAAACGGGAGTTTCATCATGTTTGTCAGGCTGGTCTCGCACTCCTGACCTCAGGTGATCCACCTGCCTCGGCCGCCCAGAGTGGTGGGATTACAGGTGTGAGCCACCATGCCTGATCTCTTTTTTTTTTTTTTTGAGACAGAGTTTCACTCCTGTCCCCCAGGCTGGAGGGTAGTGGCGCGATCTCAGCTCACTGCAACCTCCGCCTCTTGGATTCAAGCGATTCTCTTGCCTCAGCCTCCCAAGTAGCTGGAATTACAGGCACACGCCATCACACCCAGCTAATTTTTGTGTTTTTAGTAGAGGCAGGGTTTCACCATGTTGGTCAGGCTGGTTTCGAACTCCTGACCTCAGGTGATCCACCGGCCTAGGCTTCCCAAAGTGCTGAGATTGCAGGCATGAGCCACCACACCTAGCCTACTTTACTTTCTTAATAAACTTGTTTTGGCTTTGCACTGTGGACTTGCCCTGAATTCTTTCTTGCGGGAGATCCAAGAACCCTCTCTTGGGATCTAGATCAGGACTTCTTTCTGGGAACAGTTACACTGGGCTCATCAGATAATCCAGGATGATCTCCCTAATTTAAGATCAGCTCATTAGCAACTTCAGTTGTGTCTACAAAATCCTTTTTGCCATCTCATCTAACACAACCATGGGCAGGACACCAGGAGTGGAGATCATGGGTGCCAAAATTCTGCTTCCTGCAGAGCCTTTAAAATCCCATAAATTCAGCCTTAAATTCCCCATATGGAAAAAGACTTGAATCAGAAGTTCCCAAGAAAGAGGAAATATCAATGAGGAATGCCTGAAATAAAGCTCCATCTCATTAGGCTACAAAGGGATGCAAATTAAAGTAATAATGAAATCACTGAACTCCTAAGTCAGCACATGTTTAAAAGATGACACAGCTCTGGGGAACAGAGCGGAGTGGAGAGAGATCCCAGGATGTGGCCACAGGTTTGAGTTTTGTTCTTTGTTTTTTGTTTGTTTTTTTGTTTGTTTGTTTTTTGTTTTTTTAACAAGGAGCATACATTTTAAAACGTGAAAATAAGTATAAGATACTTTTATTTTGAAGAAAGGAAATAATAGATGCATGCAGCTCTCTGCAAAAGCAGTACATCCCAATGAATTGTCTTGATTGCCACTAAAAAATTCCCTTGATGTTTGGGTACACAGCCCCAGAGGCCCTAGTGGAATGTGGTTCCCAGTAAGCAGTTACACCATGTGGAGCATGATGCAGGAGGGAGCTCAGAAGGGGCAGAAAAAAACGATGGGGGCAGGGCCCAGCGAGGTCCCACAAGAGGGCGCTGAAGCTGAGATGGCAATGTCCTGCCGCTGGCACAGCCAGAATGGGGCACAGACGGATGGCATCTGGGCTGCGTCCCTCACCGGCATTCAGTGAGTCTGTCGCCATGTACTGATGGGTGTCGGGAGGGAGAGCATCATCCTCACAGCAGCCTGGCAGTCCCCGTTTGTGGGTGTTCTGGGCCCTGGCTCAGGGACCGGTCACCCAGGCAGCAGTGCTAGCCTGGGAGTAAAACTAGAGAGACACAGCCAGGCACGGTGGCTCACACCTGTAATCCCAGCACTTTGGGAGGCCGAGGAGGGTGGAT